AGCGCCACCCTCATCCTCCCCTTTCTCCTCGCCCAAACCATCGCCGGCGCATCCACCGGCCCCGTAATGTTCAAAACAGCACGGTACGTCCAATCACAACCAGACGACATATCACCAACTAACCTACGGTCAAGATACAACCCCGTTCTCCGTACAGGCTTCATAGCCCTGAACCCTCGGCGCCGCGCTCAAACTCATCTTCTCGCGCAACACACCGATAGCAGCGTATGTCTGTATCCTCGCAATCGAGGGCCTGGGCTCCGGCTGGGTGCACCAGCCCGGCCTCGTCGCCCTGCAAGCACTCAGCACGCCCGAAGACCGCGCCGTTGCTACATCAACACGTAATCTCTTGCGCTCGCTAGGCGGCGTGGCTGGCGTCGCCGTCTCCACAAGCCGGTGCAGTTCAGCGTCACTGAAAAAGCCCTTCGCAAGCGCGTGAGCGCGGAAATAGCAGGCGAGGTATTAGCTGGACGGTGGGCGGTGGGTGATGGATTCAAGGCGCATGTTATGGATGCACGGATGCAGGGGTTTCAAGCTGTTTTTGCGGTTAGTGTGCCGTTGATTGCGATTTGCCTTGTTGGGAGCGCGTTTGTGGATGATGAGGTTTTGAGGGGGGATAGGGAGGAAGAGCGGGGGTGTTTGACGGAGGATAGGGGTGGAAGGGTGGAGGAGAAGCCGGTGCTTTTGGGGAGGTTTAGTTGGGAGGGATGAGGTGGTGGAAGCCCATGGAGGAGGGACTGTGGCTGATAAACGGTGTAATGGGCAGTCAATTTAGTGATGGGGCATGCCAGGTTTGATTGTACTGACTATCAGGTGCTCAGCAACCATAAGTTTGACACAATTTTGGAATAGTCCTTCATCCTTTGAGTGTGCATGTTCTGATTGACCTCGGTCGTATTACAAAGAGCCTTCACTATCTAACGTCCACACTCCAACCTCGGTATGTATCTTTCGAGATAGCTGGCTTATTCCTTCGATAAACACCAAGTTATCTTATTATTGCAAAAAGCATAGTTTACGGGGTTCTTAATTGCTAAAGTACATATGCAATGTTCTGAGTACTTTTCAGATGATTGTCACTACTTTATGCTTCCATTTGCGTCTCGGTTCAGTACTTTCTGAAAAGATGCCAACTCGTTCGAATGCTCCTGGCTGTTTATATGACTTGATGAGGACCAAACCAAGGAGGTCGAAAGGACGCTCAGCAATGACAAGGAGATACCAATCTGGCGATGTTTCTCGTGCAGAGCCGGTGTTTTCTTTTCTTTCTTGAAACAAGTCCAAAAATAGTCTAAATTTTCCTATTTCCTGGCGTTTTCGCTGGCGTCCTCCAAACATAAACCGTTCTCCAAAATCTGCTCGCACGGAATTCATCTTTAGGAAGAGGCTACGGAGTCGAATCCACCCTGCACGGATTTGGCCATATCTTTCAGAACTCTCCAGGTGTGTGCGAACCTGAAGAACCTTCGCTGAGTCGGTTAACGGAAGAAAAGGAAAATAAATATTTCTTCTACTTGATACCCAGGACCAAGTTGGTCCAATGTATGTATGTGCTTCTGGCATAACAACAATGATACTAGTCTGCCATAGAAGAGCACTAGGTAATGAGTGTTCCCACAATCCAGCATGATATTCGCCTAGTGTTGAGCTTGGTAGGCAAGACGCGAAGCCCGCAATTGCTGGAAGTCGATCGGTCGGGTTTGTCAGCTTCCGCTGCGAATATTCTTGCACCACATCAACCCAAAGTTTCATCGCTTCATTCAACAGCATAGCAGACATCTCTTCGGGATTAGTGTAGTTCGTGAGCGGCTCCCGAATATGGGAATAATGGGGTCGATGCAGGTGCGAGCCTCGATTTGCGGTACCGCACTCACACCTACTGTGTGCTCTACATCTCCAGTACATTGAATGTTCCATAAAGTGGATCACTCGGCGGGCTAGATGCTGTTCCTGGAAACACCAAGCCCTTTCGAAAGTTGGGCTGCGGGCCCCGACATACGCCGGTGTGAAAATAGGATTCACGAAGATCGTCTCGATGTCGACCGCCGTATGATGTTCTATATTGCTCAAGTCTACCAAGCCAATAGATTGGCCCTCTTTTGGGTGTCGTAGCTGCTGGTGTCGCGTACGCTTCGATATAGGTATCTCGACAGCGAATGGCTTAGGGGTTCTTTCATGTAGGAAGCCTTCGTGAACGTCCTTGGCCAGATCTGCAGATAGCACCAGATCCGCATTCGAATATATACCGCCCATTTGACCAGACTGATGGGAGAAATCTTCCTTATCACCTTGTATGATGCATAAAGAGTCGATCCAGATGTACTCGTATCCCAGCGCCAGCGTTATGACAAGAGCATGTCGAAAGGTTTTGGGTAGTTTCGACACTGATATGCCTTCCATGTGCACTCTCAGATTGTCTTTTGTGGTGCTGAATACATCATAGACCCCCCAACAATAGCTTAATGCAAGGTAGGGGGTGTTCGGTGGGTGTCTCGTTGATAGTCGAACACACGATTTGGAAACTATATGTACTAAGCGATCTGGTACACTCGTCACGAAATTTGTTGCAGGATCTTTACAGTTGATCGTGGTTCTGCAGGCAATCAGACACACCATGCTCGCATGATTGCATGCGAGGCTGCAGAGTTGGTATGCTGTTGGATCAGGTCGGACTGTGGTACAGTCCTGGAGAACCAACTTTGTAACTTGCTAACAATGGACTTAGTAGAAGTTCAATAGTTGGTGTTGCCACTCACTCTCCGCTAAGTGTAAAAAGAGACGCCTCATACACCCAGATAGCCATGCTGCTACCGTCATCACGGTATTCGTGACGTGGTTTGATGCGACTCTTTGGCCCTGGAGCTTTACTTTGAAGCCTCACGCTGATCCACCAAGTGAGTTCCTCGATCATTATAATTGCTCTAGTCATTACATCTTCGTCTGCTGATTTAACGAACGGTGTCAAGGCACCCCAAAACACGTGGCATATTTGGCAGTCGCTTTCCTGTGCCGAGTATCGTAAAGCTAGAAGTGGAATTATGACGACATGGGGACACGTAGGTTCTATATCAAGCCGAAAGTTTACTTTTCCTTCGACCATGATTATGTCATAGCACACGAGACATTGGGTCTCGAGCTCTAAAACACAATGTCGTGTAGTGTTGACAGGACTGACTGGTCAGTAAGTTCCAGAAATACTGATGTAGTCATTTTCACATGTCCCATGACTGTTCAGGAGGGGTGGATGAAACGGTGAGTACGTACCGGTCGTTTGGTGCACTCGTTGAGTGTACGCTTTTAATGGCGATCTCTGAAGCAAGACCCGACGGTGCTTCTGCTGTTGCGTCCCCATCTAACTCATTGATAGATACTTCTCCTCTTATTGTATCGGTTTGTAGATCCATCGTAGGAATTATACTGACGGCAGAGAGTCATCTGCTCCAGAACGTAGGTAGGTGGTGACCGATCGCTTCGAAGATAAGCCAATTGCAGGGCTCGAGGACAAGCTCTCATATGTAGACTGTAGTTTGGCCAAAATGCATGATCTCAAAGAGCTCATAGAGTACAGCTATCCCGAGCTCGGATGAGGTTATGAGGAGTTATGGCTAGGCAACAGCAATCAGGCTGAGCCTGTGACGAAACAAGTTAGCGTAGGCTTACACAACCCCTTCTCGACTCAATCTCAAAAGCCTATCTCGCATGTTCACACCGATGGTGAACGGGAGAATCACCCCGCCTTAAGCTTTTACTCGGCCACAATGTTCAGACTATTCGACCTACCCGTCGAAATCTTCCACCTCGTGCTCTCCCATCTCGCCCACATCTCCATCCGCAGCGTCCTCGCCTCACGCGGGACCTGCAAAGTTTTCGAAACCAACATCCAAAAAATCCTCAAATATGAAATCGCAAACCTCGGCCATGCAACATACGCTCTTCTGCAAACACACTTTCCCACAATCTTAGACTCCTCAGCTGTCCCGTCCATTCGGTATCCCGGCAAATACGACAGGCTTGCACCACTGCGCAACCTTCCCTGGGCTGCAAATTCCAAGATCCGCGAACGCTGGCTGCGCCCTGAAGCAACATGGCGCCGCCTGCCTCTCGCATCAGCAAACGGCGCTATTGTGCGCAAAATGCAAGTCGTATCAACTTCTAGTCCATATAGTGAGCTAGACAGCATCAGCGGGTACGACGTGATGTTTCCGCGTCAAATCCTGCAGCGCGACTTCAAAGGGTTTCAAGACCTCGTGTCTGCCAGCAAGTACTACGGCCCTCCGCAGAGCGTGACGCTGGGCTGGCTATACGATTTTATTGTCTGCGAGCGGTGGAGGTTGAAGGAAGGCTGGGAGATGCATTTTGGGATTGGGGTGAGGGATAGAAGGGAGTTTAGGGATATGGGGTATCGATTTGCGGCGGGGAGTAGAGATAGGATTGAGGTTGAGGAGATTAGGGCGTATTGTGAGGTTGATGAGGAATGTGCGGTGCTGATTGAGCGGAAGAGCGCGTATGTTGAAGAAGCGTTACCGGAGGGTATGGACGTTTGGGGGCCGGAGGTTATTGATGAGGATCATGCTGTGAGTATACAATTCTGCTGACATGAATTACAGGGTATTTCATGAAATCCCTAAAGCCACTTCTGAGGGCTAAGGATATTGTATTATGTTTTGTCAAGGTGGTGATTAAACGTAGTATCGTACAAAAGTAGAGAATGATAGCATTAGCCAAAAGAACATCATATGCATTTATCGATCCAAAGCCTGCGCTTGACACTAGCAATTTGTTAGCACTCGATTCAAAAATACCGAATGTTCGACTTACCATCTGCCAATATACCCCCCTCCTCCTCAACAACCCCTGATGATCCCCCTTCTCCAAAACCTTCCCACTCCCCATAACAAAAATAACATCCGCCTTCTGAATCGTCGCCAGCCGATGCGCAACCGCAATGACCGTGCGCTTGCCCTCGCCCGCCGCTCTCTCGATAGCCTCTTGCACGAGTTTTTCAGACTCGGAGTCGAGCGACGACGTCGCTTCATCAAGCAGCAAGAGTTTTGGCTTGCGTAGTAACGCGCGCGCGAGGGAGAGGCGCTGCTTTTGCCCGCCGGATAGAGACATGCCCTTGGGCCCAAGGCGTGTGGAGTATCCGGATGGGAGGGAGGTGATGAAGTCGTGGATCTGGGCGTCGCGGCATGCAGTTTCGATTTCGGTGTCGGTGGCTGAATCGACGGAGAGGGCGACATTTTCGCGGATCGTGCCTTCGTAGAGCGTGGGTTCTTGGCTGACAAGGGCGAGTTGGGAGCGGTAGGCGGAGGGGGATAGTGTGGTGATGGATTGCGAGTTGAAGAGGATGGTTCCGTGCTTGGGGTCGTAGAAGCGCTCGAGGAGGGAGATTGTTGTTGATTTTCCGCAGCCCTGTGTGGTATGTTAAGAGACTGCAAGTTATTAGGGGAGGAGGAGGACTTACAGATGCGCCAACAAGAGCAGCGAATTGTCCTGGCTCAACTCTCAGATTGAGATTCGACAACACAGGCACTTCTCGCGACCTGTACGTAAAGTCCACATTCCGGAACTCCACACTTACACCTTGCTCACTTTCCTGGATATCCGACCAATGCTCGCCTCCCTCTTTGTTAGCTGCTCGCATACTAAGGATACGATTTGCAGCGCCTGTGGCCTGCGCCATATTCGGCGCGACAGAAAACCACATACCCGCCGCCATGGCGCCAAACACCGTGCCCATGTACACGATGAAGAAGTCGACAATGCCGTACTCTCGTTTCGCCAGCAACGTGCCGCCGTACCAAAGCACAAGAGCCATGCATGCCAGCTCGATACTATCACTACCCGCGAAGACAAGCGTGCCGAATCTCAAAGACGCGAAGGCTTCTTTGACATGGCTTTTGAGCAGCGACTCATACCGGTCGCCAATCATATCTTCCATAATAAGGCTGAGCACCGTGCGAAACGCGCCAACAGCTTCAGAAGCGAATTGACTGCTATTCTCGAAAACTTTTGCGTTGTCCTTTTCGAACTGGATCTCGATGCGCATGCGCATGTATCCCGCAGCAAGGATGATGGGGGCGGCGGAGAAGAGTCCCACGAGACAGAGCTTCCAGCCGTACACGAAGGCGATGATGGTGGAGCCTACCATGTTGACTACGGCAATCAGCGCGAAGGACATTTCCGTAGACATGAGTTGCTGCAGCTGTGTGCAGTCGGAGCTGAGTCGGGAAGTCAGTGAGCCAGGGCTGTGGCCTGTTTCGTCGAAGAAAGATATGCGTTTGCGAATCATGTTGCTTAGGTATTGTTGGCGGTAGTGGCGCGTGATGGCGATGGAGATCAGATGTGATGCAACGCCCAGGACGAAGTAGGCTACGCCGGTGCCAGCTGCTAATACGCCAAACATACCTGCCCAAAAGTTCCCTTCCTTGGTGAGTCGTGCGCCGTTGAAGGTAAAGACTTGGATCATGAAGGCGAAGAGGTATGCTTGGATGGGATAGACGGCGCCGGCTGCCATGATACCGATCACAGCGACGCTGTAGAGAACCCAATGGTTGCGTTGCTCGTACAACAGCCGCCCGAAGCTGTTAAACAGTCCGACAGGCTTGTATTCCGGGTCTTCAATCGAGGTGTGCCTGGCTCTTTCGTCCATGATCGACTTTCCGCTCTCAACGGAGGTGATCTTCTCGATTTTGGGTCCTTGAACGCCGTCCTCTTCTTCTGCTTCTATAGCAAGGTTCTGAGCAGTGACTAAGCCTCGATACACGCCCGTCTCAACAGCCACCAGCTCCTCATGAGTACCTTGTTCGACAAGTTTGCCTTGTCGCAGAACTACTATCTTGTCGGCTCGTCTGATAGTAGAGAGACGATGCGCAATAACAATAGTCGTCCTGTCCTTGGATACACGATCGAGAGCCTGTTGCACGATGCGCTCAGTCCGCACGTCTATCGCGCTGGTCGCCTCATCGAGAATCAAGATCGGCGGCTGCTTGATAATACTTCGAGCAATGGCAATGCGTTGACGCTGGCCGCCAGAAAGCTTGATGCCGCTTTCTCCCACGCGCGTCTCGTAGCCCTCTGGTAGTCTTGATATGAATTCTTCCGCGTAAGCCTCGCGACACGCTTCCTCGACCATCTTCATCTTCTCCTCCTTTGGTAGATCTTGGTACTGCGTTCCGCACAGACCATAGATGATGTTGTTGTACAGCGTGTCGTTGAAGAGGAATGGCTCTTGCTGCACAAGGCCGATTTGTGAGCGCCACCATTTGAGGTCGACTTCGCGCAGATCGGTGCCACCGATTCTAACAGTACCAGTGCAGGTGTTTGGTCCCAGATCGACTTCCTTGTCTTCTTCCGCCTCTTCGTAGGCAGCCTTTGGCGTCTTGTCCTCCGCTGGAGCGTCGGGTTTCTGATACCATTTCTTCTTCTTCGGTACTTGTTCACCATCAGCTTCCTCATCAGTAGTCTTCTCTTCCTCCTTCAGCAATGCAGTAGTCCCAAGTAATTCATACCACCTCTGCACAAGTCCCACCACCGTAGATTTCCCCGACCCCGACGGCCCAACAATAGCCGTAACCTTCCCGGCCTCAAACTTCAAATCCAGCCCACCAAGAATCGGAACATCCGGCCTACTAGGATACGAAAACGCCACATTCTCAAACGAAATGTCTGTCTCGGCGCTGACGTCGGGATCTCTCAGACCAGTGATATTCGGCACTGGCGCATCGATGGTAGCGAACAGCTCAGCAGCAGCTGAGGCCGCTCTAGTAATAGCCATGATGGGAGTCGCGACTCTCCCGATGTGCTGGACGGCCATCATGACGGAGAACAGCACGACGGTGATTTCACCGACGTTAGCGATCTTGCCTTCGTTCAACTGCTTGATGCCGAACCAGAACGAGATGGCGAAGGTGCCGTACATGGCCATCATGGACGGCGCCATCATCAGGCCCATCAGCGGTGCCGCTTTCCTCTCATTTGCGACGGCTTGGTCCAGCATTTTTTCATGCTGGCGTGCCAGTTTGGCCTCAGCGCCGAATGCCACAACAATGCGGATGGATGAGAACATTTCAAATGCCATAGCTGAAGCATCACCGTGATGTTTCTCGGTGACTTTGTGGATCCGGATGAAGGGTGGGACAAGTGCGCTATACACGACGAGGATGAAGGGCAGAGATGCAGATGCGACGAGGGTGAGGAGCCAGCTTTTGATGAACGCGACGACGTACAAGCCAATGACAAAGGCGAGAGATTGGAACAGCATGGCGAAGTGTTGTGATACGGCTAGTTGGACGGTGTTGGAGGAGGTGGTGATGCGTGTGGAGACTTTGCCGGGGCTGATGGTGTCGATGATGCTCACGGGCTGGGCGAAGAGTGCGCGCAGGTATGCTAGACGTAGGGCAGCGGATAGACGGAGGCCACTGATGCGGATGGTGATCTGTATTTCTATATCAGTCCAATGCTCCGTGTAGACAACGCGAATACTCACCATAGCCAAGTACGAGAGCACGAACTTGCCAATGAACAAGTACACTATGTACAGCGCCAGTTTATTGATCTCCGCCTGAAACTCGGATTGAGTGACTGTCGTTCCTGGAATGAAGTACTCAGTGAAGACGCCAACCAATTGCCCTACAACATGTCAGCTTCTAGAACCTCCTCAGTGGGGTACTTCTACACACCAAACACCACATTCATCAATGGCATAGCGACTCCCGAGCCGATCGAAGTCAAACAGCATACTCCAATAAGCATAAAGTCAAATCTCGTCCCGTATGCGAAGACGCGCTGGCAGTCCATTGTCAGCCACCCATCTTGAATCAAGAAGTAGAACACTTACGAAGTAACTCCCCAGACCACTCTCGGGCTTCTTCTCAACCGGCTTCGCAACATTCTCACTACTCTCCGCCTTTGCATCTCCCTGCTTCGTGCCAGCCTCAAGAACCTGTGTCTGCAACGCTGCCGCCTCTGCTCCCGCCGTAGCCGCAGGTGGCTGCAGAGCACCAGACTTCTCCATATTGAAGACAAATATCCAGGATTAAAACAGAGCTGTCATGAAGAGCAGAAGTAAACGTATGATACCTTACCAGCCTCAGTGGCTGATACTTCCTTCCTCCTTATAAGCGCACCCGCCACCTCCACCTCCCTCGCTCAATACAAGTTCTGATTGGTGCAAAAGGACGTCTGCCTGCTTGGCCCCAGCCAGGGCCCTGGATCTCGCAGATTCCAAGCCGAAAGCGTAGTTGTCGGGGAATAAAAGAGGGCCGTGAGGAATAAGCGAAATGAAGTGTATGGGCGTCCCGCGCCGCGGCGCTAGTAGAGGTAAAGTGCGAGATTTCCTAATCGAGCGATGGAACGCGAACGTGACGTTGGAGGCGGAATTCTGGACAAGAGGACACAAATGAATGCTCGAAAACAAAAAAGTCTTTCTTCAATCTGAAAGAAAGATTACTGTTATAGTCTCGACGGGTGTTGTAATTGCAAAAGTATAATGTAGAAAGTTCGTGCTGGCTGGTAATTTGCCCGAGTTGTTCATTCACGCAATGAGCAAGCGGCCATCGGTGTGTCCAACGGCCCGGTATACTCACCGACTTTGCGACTCCACGGAACGTCTGTCTGATGCAAGTAAGCTGTACACTGCACAACCATACTACGCCCGAGGGAGAAGTACATCAGCTCCCCAGTCTTACCCGTTTAGGAAAATTTCATGGCCAAGAGAAATCAGCCAGGCAGCGATTCGAGCTCCCGACATTGCCACACGGAGAGGGGGGTAAGGGGGATAGTACACGCATCGAGTCGAACCCGTCTCAAAAAGAGTAAAAGATGTGGAAAACAAAAATATACCTCGACTGAATTAAATCAACACTACAAATACAAGTTTTTTGTTTGCACCAGCAATGACAAGAATCAGACGTAGGAGTGACAAGTAAACCGAAACCCATGACCCTCACAATAAAGAAAACAGCAGTGAAGCCAGTCCAATCCTACTTTTCTCGCCCAAACGCCAACTCCACAAAGCCATAGATGGATGAAAAAAGCGGCTCAATCAGCAATACTCCTCGATCCACCGCCGAATTCTCAGCTGTTCGCCCCACCACTTCTTGCCCCTAAACGGAAGAACAGCAACCTAAGCCGCCCTCCTCTTTGCCAGATAATACGTGAGCAAGTTGAGATGCTGTTCGCGCGCGCCAGCCACCGCTCTCCAAAAGCCGTCGTTCTCCTGCTCGCCGGCGGGAGCCGCGATGCGCTCGTGCAGGGCGATGCAGAACTCGATGTTTGACTTGCGCACGTCGGCGTCCTGGTCGTCCATGCAGCGGACGGCGAGCTTGCCGAGGCGGGAGGTCTGGTCGGGGGAGAGGGTGATGTTTTTGGCGCCGCTGATTTGGATGAGAGCGGCGAGCGTGCTGAGGGCCATGGTTGCGGTGCGGGTTTGGCCGGCGCCGGGGAGGGAGGTGAGAGAGGATTTAGAGCTGGGAGAGGAGGTGGGGGTGGATGAGGGAAGGTCTTCGATGAGGGCCAGGACAGCGTTCAGACAGTCGGAGGTCTGTCCGTATCTGACGATCTCTTCGGCGGTGGTCTCGAGGTCAATGGCGATGTGCGATGTGTTCTCGTATTGTGCCTTGGTCTGTAGGACGGTGCAGAGTACTCGGGAGAAGTACTTGGCAGTCTCTTTTCGATATAGAGATAGCATGGCGCGGATGGTCGCCAGAGCTTGTACTTTCAGGTTTGCTACCTTGATCGGTGTTGTCTTCAGCTCCTCCGTAGGCACTTCGAGAAAGTCCAGGCAGGCGAGAAGCAGGCAACCGAAGTTTTCGTCATTTGCACCCCAGATCTCGTGGTTCGACCTGATCATATCCTGCATGCGGCGGAACATGTGGGACTCAACAGTACGGCTCTCGATCTTCTTGATGCCACTTGCCAGCAGTTGCCTGTTCTTGAGAACTTCGGCATTGTTAGTGTCGTTGCTTTCAGAATAAAGTACACTGCCGGTGCTGGTGGTCTTGTGATGGCCTCGAGGGCGGTCTTCGCTCGCATTGCCCATGACAGTGTCGCTGGATATGCTCTCGTTGCTCGGCCTGCGTTCGATATTCTTCTCGTTGATAGGGAGTTCACCAAGCACTGGCTTTTCTACCTCGTGCTCGACTGCGGCAGGCTCGTCGCCTACGAAAGGGTCTTCGAACACCTGGACTCCTTCCTGAGCATCGGTGCCGCGCGTGCTTGGCCGGTCAGGAGAGCGCACCCGTGGGCTACGCGTTGATGACCGGAACCCAAAGCCGTTGATGTCACCCATAGACTTCGGACTCCTCAACATTGATGCACGCGGGCTGGGAGCTGACAGATGGCTTGGTGAGTGCGTCTTTGGCGGTGTGTGGTGAATGGACTGTGCCGTTGGTCGCGCCAGATTTGGTATGACCATGGTGAAGTTGTCCTCATCTCCTGACAAAACAGTTTCATTGTCAAAGACAGCGCTCTTATCCAGTCCATTCCGTTGGCGAAATGGAATAGTGCCTGGGTCGTGGTGGCTCTGAGATCGCACAAAAGGCTTCACTATGGTCAATTCCAGGTCCTCGTCCTTGGATGCACTCGGCGCAGGACTAGCCTGTCTGGAACTTGCGCTCGCAGTTTTTTGGACTGTTGTACTTTGCCCGAGCCTGGACCTGCTCCGTATTGGGCTCACGTTGGGGCTGTTCTGTGTTTGCGCTCGAGGTCGGACACTGCTCTTTGGTGCGACAGACTTCTTCGTTGTGGTCACAGCTGGAGTCTTCTCAGGGGTCATCGATGGCGTTGTCTTGCCGTTTCCAGCACGGCGGACAGCATATGGATCTGCCGTTGCTGGCCTGTTCAGTTCTGGACGTCGGATTGGACGGCGCACCGTTCCACTCATCAATGAGCCGGTACCCGACGAGTTCTTCAGCGCTGATTTGGTGGACTCTCCGGACATGGCTGACGGCGGCCGTGCAGGTCCGTTAGAAGCGGTCGATGCAGTCGAGGCGGTCCTAGCACTCAAAGACTTTGTCGATGCCGATTTGACGGGCGAGTAGGTTGCGGCAGCAGACATGGGGCGTTCAGGCACTTTCGAAGCTGCCATCTTAGCTCTTCGTTGTTCGGCAATCTTCTCCTTCAGAGCATTTCGTGCTGCTCCGGCCCCAACGGACTTTGAGAACGAAGAGACTGCACTACTTTGGGATGATGCAAGGGAAGCATTTGGGTTGTTGGGATCTTTTTCCAGCGCCGTCTTTTCACGCTTCTCCAAAGTCTCAAACATGGCTTCGGCTCTTTGCGGCCACACCAGAGCGAAGGTCCAATACGTGCTACGATAGGCCTCGCGCACCTTGGGGTTGGCGTCGGTGACACCCTTGCGAATGATCTTCTCCAGGGTGTCTAGTCCCCCTGAGTGCTCAACGTGCGCCTTGTGTTTCCGGATCAACGTCTTGACCCAGCTCGCGCGGAGTGCGTTCGTGGCTGTACGTTCTTGTCCTGACCGGCGAAGGAAACGTGCTGTAAGATGCGGTTATTGTAAGACACGTTCGAAATAATAGCCTCTACTGTGACATTGCCGTTCTGCGCTGCAATGTTCTTCGTTGCTGCGCACATCTTGATGAAGCACTGTAGGAGAATTTCCACCCAAGGATCAATGGCGTGGCGGAGCGTCTTCGCAAGCTCTTGCACCAGCTGACAGCCATTCGTCGACATGGTCGTGCGCAGAGTGTTGGCCACTTTCAATATACCCTCCAGAAGCGACTTGATGCCTGCCACGAAAGCTCCGGGGAACTCGGCCGGGGCATTCCCCATCAGTATGCGCCTAAGCTTTGTGGTATTCTTGTCTCGCGCCAGCCAGTTCCCTTCTGACTCTCTGCCTTCAAACGGCGGCGCCATGTCGCGGAAAATGTCTTCGAGCTCGCGTTGTGTATAGATGTGTATGGGGTCCATTGTCACGGCTTCGGTTGGCGGGGGTTGTTCGGCTGCTAACGCATCTGCAATGCCGTGGTCGGGCTGAAGTGTCTGCGCTCGTTGCGTAGGTAGTGGTCGTTCTCTCACAGCCGGTGGTGGAGGAGGCATCTCTTCATGTGCACCTCCGGTGGCTGCGCCGTCCAAGTGCGCGGTAATATAGGTTGCGATCGCTTTCCGAACATTTGTGGACACAAGCTGCTTCTTGAGGTTCGCCTTGGCGTGTTCTGGCGCGCTCGTGAAGAGATCTACGACGGCGTGCTTAGCAGTGTCGCGCACGCCTGCGTCCGCGTCCTCGAGGTTGGCAATCATCTGCGCCGAGTAGGCCCGGAAAGGCAGGTTCTCGGTCTGGTTCATCTGTCCACACATTAACATCACATGCCGTCATGGTCGCGCTTCTCGCTGGAGACGGACCTTAACGACCCATGTCATCGACGTGTCTTTGGCGCGCGCGTTCGTGCCCTTCATGGCATTGTGGATCAACGTCTCGACTTCTAAGGGGCATAGCGGGTGCAGGTCTGCGAGGATCTGGAGGGAGGCGCTGCGATGGCTCTCGCGCGCATCGCCCAGCTTCTCCAGCAGCAGCGCGCACAACTTGGAGGACTGTGATGTTATGACGGCAGTCTCTCGTTGCAATTGGAGTCTCTTAATGAAATGGCTCAGCGTGGAAAAGCCCGTCGAGACGAGCGTGGCCGACGTGGTGGCGCTGATGGCAATGCGGATGCACTCAAAGATAGGAGCCTGACACTCTTCGGGAACGCGGTTGTGCTTGATGTTGGACTTGACATTGCTAAACAGCTGCAATCGCTGGTCGACGTTCGTAGACGGCTTCTTCAGCGCCGCCAGGAGCGCATTCGTCTGCTCCAGCATATCCGGCATTTTGATGTGTGTTGGTAGTTGCGGGGCACATGGATGGGGTGCGTGTTTACTTACAGGTGATTCAGGCGTTGTTAGGGTGTGGGTCGCGCTAGAGCCGCCGTGCAGCCAATCGCCTTGACAACCGTGCACCAAAGATCCCTGTATGACGCTGCATAGACCAGCGTGTCAGACTTCAGAACGACGCTTGTTCGACTTCACCAGAACCATTGACGTTGATCTCACGTGATAGACACAATCAGATCGAATGAGTCACTTGCATTGTTTTAGTTCACTTCGTTCATCGGACGACAGTAGCGACAGTCCTAGTCCACGTAACGCGCGATCAAGCTCTACTCGTCGTTCTGAGCCTTCCTCTCGTCCCAAACACCAATAGCCTCCTCGGCAGCCTTGACGCCACTGAGGACCATGGCTCCAAAAGTAGGGCCCATGCGGTTGGCACCGTCAACCTCACTGAGTTCCATACCACCAACAATGAGACCGGGAACCACCTCGCGGGTGCGCTTGACAATGGCATCTTCGGCAGTGCGCATGTCGAGGCCGCGCATGCCGCCGAGCTGGGGCAGCTGCTGCATGGAGACGAGGCGCTTGACGCTAAAGGCGCCAAAGGGACCGTCGTGGCCAGTAGTGGAGATGATGAGGGGTGCATTGATGGTGTTGGGATCCATGCAGGATTGGTCTGGCTCATGTTAGCGAGGTGTTATGTCAAGAGGTAGTAGATAAGTACTGACCATCGTGATGCATGGAGACAAGAGTCCAGTTGGTGACGACACCAGCAATACGAACGGCGTTCGGGTCGTTTGAGGTCGGAGCAGGTCGAGTGATGAGGTCCTCCACAGCAGTAGCGTTGAACAGCTTGACGTTGGGGAAGTTCAGCACCTTGCTCATCAGAGTCGAAGTGAACAGAGCAGCGTGCTTGACAACGACGAAGTCGCCCTCGTCCTCGTACGGCACGCCAATCTCGTTCAAGAAGAGCTCGGCGGGCTTGCGCATGACCATGGCACTGAAGAGCTGGCCACCGAGCCAAGCACCGCCACCGGGAGCAACGCCAGCCTCAACCATGGCGATCTTGAGATCGGGACGTTTGGAGGCCAGCGTGTACGCGGCACTGAGACCACAGGATCCGGCACCGATAATGACAACGTCGGACTCGGCGTAGGTGTCCAAGTCGTTGAAGTAGCGACGGGTCATGGCACGCGAAACCTGCGACTCGCGGATGGGGGCAAAGGTGAACTTCTCCCAGTTGTGCTCGATCTCTGCCAGAGACTTGGCCACGCCACTCGCAGCGGGCTTGACAGCGAGGTCCTTCTTGAGGCTCAAGCCATTGCCAGTGTTGGCGACGGGAATGTCGAAGGTAGCAGCAGGAGGAGACATGCTGAATGTTGTTCAGGGGAAAGCTAGACCTATAACTTGTTAAGACTATCCTCGTCAGAGGAGGTGGAAGCAAGAGCATGTCCTTGCGCTGGTATTATCCAGATCAAGTTATGACCGTATAATCTCAGATCGAATCCAGCAACTGTCCACTTTCGTTGTCTGCAAGAGCTCGAAATGAAAGAGAACAGTAGCTGAAGACGAACACCGGTTCATGCGTATACTTAGCTAATATACCTTGATGGCGATTGGATAATGCCCGCGTGCAGACAGTGTCTTGCATCGTGGGTGCCATACTGGGTGTTGAGTATCTACGAAGTCATTAGCAGGTCTTCTCATGTAAAGACTGGGGACAATTGAGTACGGATGAAAAGCAAATATGAGACTCAAGTCGATGAATTGGTAGAGGAAAGAAGAAAATGGGCAATCGAGCCCAAAGGTGATGGTTAAATACCCCCACGCAGAGCTCCTTCCACGTATAGCCGTTGAGGCGGGGTAGCTTTTTTGATGATGTGTTAGCCCCACTACAACTGACACCCGGTGGCATCTTCAGCCAAAGACATGACCAAGAAGGATAGCTTCGCAATGTAATGACATGGAAGCTGCATGGCCGCGGAGCCAGCTCCGGTGGAGGGGCTTACGTGATAAAAGACAGGAGCCCCCTTTCCTGTAATTGACAGATCATGAAAGGACATGTGCTAAACAGTAATTCAAATGGCGATTGCTTGGTACGAATTCCTAATTATGCCGCTTGTATCCAAATCTCGATGCACTGTACAAGAATTTTCGTGACGTCGCTGTGTTCCTATATATTAGTGAAGTAGCAGAGTTCCAGGATCAATGGTGACATTGGGGAGTCCAAGTCGTCATGAACATCATTAAATCGGGAAGTTAACTTCATATAGGCGCCCCCAGAAGACACGGCATCTGGTAGGGCTGCATAGTCACAGTAAGCAACTGTCTTTACATGCAACTATTTCCGTTGCAACATCGCCGCTGTTCTTCCGCCTGAAACTTGACGGGATGCCGCAAGATCACTCGTGTTGGTATGTCTAAGAATACCCGCGATGCGCACGACCGCTGTGCAGATGTTAATCGAAAGCCCCTGGACCGGGAGCGTACAATCGCGATCAAAGCGCCCAACAGAGTGCCGAAATCTTTTCCCTTGACTCAAGACGAACACGATGCGCATGGGGCGGAGATCAGAACGGCTCGCTTCGCCGATCAAACAAACGACTCATGGGGCGATTCAGCGGCGAGATCAGGTCGGATTGACTCGTCACCGAGCGGCCGAAACCATGGTCGGTCGGTCGTTCCGCTATTACACAGTAAAGGGTGCTATTTCGCGCGAGCTGGCATGTTAGCTAGATAATAGCAAGGAGGTACACCGAGGTGGCACGGTTTTGGCAGGTCGTACATGGTTACTTGACATGGGTGAAAGCCTCGTTTGTCGCAGTTGGCGTTTTGGCTTGTGTGCCTGCCTGAAGCGAAGAATAAGCCGAGAACGCGGATCCTCACCAGGTACCAAGCGGTACGATGAAACAAGTCCGTGAGCCGGTCTCAAATTGTGGCTCACGGAACTGCTGTTATGAGTTGATTGAGGTTGTTTAGTCGACATTATTTCCATTCATTTAGACGCGCACGCATACTAGTCTGCCTTGCTGATTGTGACGGCGGAACGATGAAACCGTGTCAGGATGAGGTAAGCTGTTGGGTGAGGTGATGGAAGCAATGCCTCAATTTCCTGTGTTAGTAGGTGTTAGTAGATGTTTGCTGCCCAGTATCGCATTGACGGAACACGTGTCGTGACGTTCTGCGGTAGGACAGTGGACGATGCCATCATGGTTGTTTGTCCCCACAGGCACGTACCTGCAGCGCAGCGTAGGTTGGGCTTGGCCCACCGTCGAGGCAAAGCGCATGCTGAAGGTGGCGTAGTAAAGGCCGGCTGGGCCATGTGCTTGCATGTATTCCAAGAGGCGTTTGAGGGGTAGATGCTCTGTTGGCTGCAGCATCTGGTTTGGTGGTTGCCATGCCGTGCTCTTCTACACGAGCCTATCAATGTCGATTAAGCCGGAATTAGGGGCAAGCGCTTGATCGACTTCGCCGCAGATCTTGGGGTGGTGCAGCAGGTCGCGAACAACAATGCTGGAGCCCGAGTCGGCGAAGGGATATTGTGCTGATATGGGCAGACCAGTGGGCACGCGCCATGGGTGGTGTGGAGGGCTGGCTTGGCAAGGGTCCTGGCCGGACGTGTTTTAGAAGTCAAACGCAGGCTGAAGTGGTGGCCGCTGGTGTTGAAGGCTCATGTGGTCGCTCGAGATGATTCGTCGGCCGCGTCTGACGATCCTCCGGTCTTGAGTCTTGAGCTTCACTGCTCGCCACGCGCGGATGGCGTCAATGTCAGCATCCATCGCATTTCCCGTCTATTCTTGCAGGCACAGAGCAGACGTTCTCAGCGCCCAGGGCTCGCTCAGGCGCTTCAGGCCGCGACTCGCTACAAGGTCGCGTTTGGCGCAGCGTCTGCCCAGTGCTCTTCCGAGCCCCCTGTCAAGCATCAGTAGTCGTCTGCCGCTAGCGATTGAGGGACCGTCGAAGCTGGAGACCGGAGTGTTCAGACTGCGCACTGCCGAAGTTCTTCATCGTCGTCCTGAGGTTTCCCTATTCGAGTTGCACATTCGCTGGGGGCCCTGCGCGACGACGCCTACCACGTTACACAGCTCGACGTCAAAGACTTCCGGTGCTCTCTCGCGACACTTTTGGCCATTGCCGCACCGAGCCCACCGCCAGACCGCAGAACAGTGTTGCGCTCGTCTTCACGCCCTCCTGCTGCAACATCGCCCTCGCTGCGGGCCCGACTACCCCGCCCGAATCAGGCCCATTGCGTGTGATTGTCGCCCGCCCGCACCTGGCGCCGACGCAACATGGAGTCGCCAGGAGCATATCCCGAGTCGCCCACCGACCAGGACGATGTCGTATATCCGTGCAAGGGGTGTGGAGAGGTAGGACAGACCCTATCGATCCAAGTTGGTAGTCGGTAGTTGCCAGTTGCTGATTGCAGTCCAGATCCTCGAGGAAGGAAAGGCCTTCGAGCTCGGTATGCATTTTCCTTGAGACACGGCGTCCCTCGCGCCTGCCCTCTGCCACGCAGCCATGGACGAATGCCACACTAACACTCCACAGCCGGCAACCGATGGCACATCGACTGCTTCCGCTGCAACACATGCGGCACCCTGCTCGACTCGGACGCCAACCTGCTCCTGCTCGGCGACGGCTCCCTGATATGCAACAACTGCACATACAGCTGCAACCACTGCGGCAACAAAATCGAAGATCTGGCCATCTTGACCGGCGACCAGGCCTTTTGCGCGAACTGCTTCAGGTGCCGGAACTGCAAGCGCAAGATCGAGAACCTGCGCTATGCCCGCACATCACAGGGCATCTTCTGCATGTCCTGCCACGAGTCGCTGATGGCTCGACGGCGCAAGAAGTCAAAAAAACCTCCACCCGGACCGGCACCCAAGGTGGACAAATCTCTGCCGGCCCTGCCTCCCCACGAGCGTCCCACATTCACTCCCGACATCGACACGCCCTCAGACATCTTCTCAGAGCCGACCACGACCGACGTTTCTCCACGCCCCTCCAACTCAAGAAGGAACGACTCGAGCTCCAACTTCAGGCGGGACGCTTCTCCCGCCATGACGGACATGTCACGACGAGGTACGAAAGCCCAGTGCTGGGAGCTTATTATGACTGCTAACACCTCTTGTCCCCTCAGATAACGTCACCCTCCCAGCGACCACCTACAACAAAGACCATGTCCACAGTGAGGCCCCAGACGCTGCGGATGACGGACTCCTACTGCCATTCGCCCTCGACCCGAACACGGCTCCTGGACCCTCGCCTCTGAACAGACCGACGAGCAAGTTCGCTGATCGAGGACTCGGATCTGCCCAGACGGTAGCCAGTGAGAACAAGACCAGTCGCGACTACTTCAACCGGCCCTCTGCCGACCACCGAGAAATGCTCAAGGAGAACGGCTCACGGTCTGCTTCCACAGAGCGTCGTCGGCCTACAAGTCCGCACATCGCCTACCAGGAGAAGGGGAGACAGCCATCAGATAGTCTGGTTGAGACATTACGCAAAAGGAAGGATGTGACTGAATCTCCTACACCTGATCGTTCGCGAAGTCAGCATGCTTCGCCGGCACCTCCCTCGGCCGCTGAACCCTTCAAGCTGCAAGACGTGCCCAAGAACAAGAAGGCTGAAGCCAAGCGCAAGGACTCGGAGCCTCAAGAGTCTCCTCAGCCCCAACAAAACTCTTTGACCAGGGAGATGTCAGCGCGGCTGAGCCGACCCCTCATCGAGCCCGACTTCACCTCCTCACCACCTGGTGTTGGACAAGACTCACCTGACACGTCAAGCTCCTCCTTCAGCTCACACTCCCGCGTGGAGCGTGTAGTTGAGCGCCCAGCTCGCGGAGACTCGCTCAAGCCTGCTGCGTCCATTACTCGATCTGAAAAGACGACAAACACGACCCCAGGGCCCAGTCATCCCGAGCGCACGTCTTCGACTGCCTCGGCCGCAGCTCATCTCAATACAGGCCTGGGAATAATAAACCCCACTGACTCTCCACCAGCCAGGTCCATCTCTGATGTCCCAGTTCCCCCAGCCCGCTCAGCAGGCCGACCCGCACCACCCTCGACGCAGAACTTCACGTCCCCTCGTGCTCCTCCACAGCCACCGCCACCTCAGACCCACAAGACCAACGACTCTGTGAGCAGCGCTCATACCGAGTCGTCGCGAGATGCTCCCGGCGGAACTGGTCTTCCGCGGTATAGTCACCAGGGCGACTTCTCCATGGATGAGGACTTTGCGCGTCTGCTCAGCAGCCAGGCGGAGAAAGACGAGAGGGACGGCGGAGTTTTCAGAAGAGTCTCAAATGCTGTTTCTAAGCACGGCCGTAGTTTCAGTGACCGCGGCTCCATCAATTCTCGGGGCCACAAGAAGTGGCCGACCAACGGGTCGATCGAAATCAGCAGTCCGACGGTAGCGTCGCCAGACACAAGAGAAGAGGGCGTAAATCTCCGCAATGAGCTACGCCGCGCTCAACAACGGATCGCCGAACTGGAAGCCGAGAAGAATGGTCTACAAGAATCCATGCATAGCGCTGCAGACATAAGACAAGCAAACACTGTGCTCCGAGAGAAGCGCAACACCATGGCTGTCTTAGACACGCAGCGAGAAGTGGTGATTCGTGAGCTTGAGATAATGACTGAACACCTCAAGCGCGCCAAGGACAGCAATGGCTCAATGGATTTGAATCAGCTCAAGTCAGACATTCTCAAAGACTTTGCAAACTCGCTTCAAAAGCTCAAGGATCAGCTCTCCGGCCAGATTGAGGACCTCATCTCGAAGAGAGCCGAGCTGACTGACGAGATATCCAATTTGATTCAGATGAAAGACAAGGGGTTCCAGGAGTACGAGTCACTTACTGCAGCGAACACCAAGCTCAACACCATGAACCGAGAACTTGTCGACAGCATACAGAAGACACTGCAAAATAACAAGAAGAGTGCGCCGAGCCTCGACGCTTCCGCCAACGGACTTGGGATCTACAACCCTCAGCACAAGGGCGGCAAGTCTGATGTTTCAGTCGATGTCCATGGATTGCATGGATTGCCCCACGAACAGTCATTTGCCAACCTTCACGAAGCTGACGAGCAGGCCACGCTGGCCCAGCCACAAGTAGTGAACATCCGCAAGACTGGCAAGCCCACCAAGTTCTCGACCTGGAAGAAGGGCGGACAGGCTATCACCAAGAATGTCACCAAGGGTTTCAAGGGCGCGTTTGGGTCTGAACAGAAGCAGGAAGAGTACAACAACATCAGGGTCATTGGAACGCCCTATGGCTCCGTACATACCCAGCCTGATCTTGCGTCCATGTCGACAATGTCGACAATGTCTAGCTCAATCAAGAGCAGAGACGAGCAGGGTACACCACGAGCTTGGTTCAGCAACAACAAGATGCCTTCAAACGGCAGACAGCCTTACCCACAAGGCGGGTTGAAGGGGATGCAAAACAGCAGTAGTACCAACTTGGCTGTAGATGCGAGCACCGTTCTATTCGGCTCGGACCTGACTGCTAGGTGCGAATTCGAGAAGCAAATGATTCCAAGGATTGTCAGCCGCTGCATCGAGGAAGTAGAGCTGCGAGGCATGGACGTCGAGGGTGTCTACCGCAAGAGCGGTGGAACGTCGCAGGTCAATCAAGTTCGCAGTGGCTTCGAAGCCGACAACGATCACGATATCAGCGACCCAGATCTGGACATTCACGCAGTCACATCAGCGATGAAGAACTACTTCCGCCGTTTGCCTGTACCCCTGATCACCTTCTCGGTGTATGATCAGTTCCTTGAAGCAGGCCGTAAGTACTATGACCTCGGAGTCAAGAGGAAATGCTAATCCCGAGCGCAGAACTTGAAGATCCTCAGGCACAGGCCAAAGCCTTGCAAGCCGCCGTCAATGAAATACCAAAGGCTCACCGTGACACTCTCCAATTCTTGGTGTTCCATTTGTCGCGTGTTATTCAACACGCTAGCGACAATCTGGTGAGTTTTTTTGGCGATCCGCTGTTGGGTTGTGACTAACCTGCTCCTAGATGACTCCTCTCAACCTCGCTGTGGTCTTTGCGCCCACTATTATGCGTCCCATGGATATACAACGGGAGCTCACGGATGTTTCAACGCAACGTGTTGCTGTTCAAGCCCTGCTCGAGAACTACAAAACTGTCTTTGGCGAGGAATGAGCGAGCCGCACTTCTCTTCACACAGACATTGCCATATTGCCCATGCCAACGCCTCGTCTGGACCATGTTCCTGAATCGAACGACATCTTGCATATCGAAAACCCGGTTTTCAAGTCCTTCCTTCGCTGATAGGCCCATGTTCGGCTTCGATCCATCCAGCGACGCTTCCGTCTCAGGATACCAAGTATGTTCAGGACGTTGTACCAGTCGCGTCAGGCTCCATTGAACTGCTGCTTCCTTTATACTTCAGTTTCGACACGAGCACTTGTTTTGGGTATTATCCATAAAGTTGATAGGTTACAGACTTTTGGACTCATGAGCGGTTTTTGACTGAATTTTGTATCATACAGCTTCCTTTCGACACGATTCTTTGCTTCGAACAAATTGTAAAAGGGTCGTGAAAACGTCACGGGCCATGGCATTATACCCAATGGCAGACCACTGAAGGTCGTCGGGGAGGCGGTCAAGGAGGAATTAATTGATGAGTTGTTCATGATGGCAAATATTGTATTTGATCCTCCTGGCTGTTGCTGTTCTGTTCCTATGCTTGGCGGTGTGGATGGTGAAAGACGCGCTAGTTGTGAGCCACCATGTACGTCATACTATGCTAAACGCGCACAAGCATGTGAGGGCCAGCCTGTTTCCGGCATCACACGATCGACCTTTTATCTTCTGCATCCGCAAAGAGCTTCAGCGATAACGACTCATTGTACTCAGCTGTGTCCCGCGCATCCTCCTACAGACTCTAATTCTTCCCACTTTCTCTTTCAGAGTCTTTCGACATCCCACTACTCCACCACTCAGCCAGAATGTCGTACGCAGATATGGCGGCCAAGGGCCCCAAGCAGAGCCCAGAGGAAGTCAGTATAGCAGAAACTAGATGTCCGTAGAGCACTAGCTAACTTTGTTGTAGGCGTGAGTAGTCCTACTTTTATTTTCTAGACAATGCCTACCGATTGTGCGCTTTGCACCCACCGCCATTATGCAGCTCACATAATTATTCGCATGCCAAAGCTACACCGCTACAAAACGAGGATTAAAATGCGAAAGAGCGTACACTGACAGTGTATTAGTCGTGCACCAGCCATGCCCGAGGTTGAGCACGGTGACGAGAGCGTGTCCTCCCTCGTCGATGTCGACAGCCCACACATCTCCTCGGTCCCCTCCGACTACGAGAGCCAGTCCGTAAAGACTGACACCCCAGTCCGAGCGCCAGCAGCGTGAAGAGGAGATGCACGAGGAGGCCAGGCGCCTCAAGGACAAGGCCGCCGCTAAGAAGGACGCTGCAAAGGACAAGGCACGAAAGAACGCAGACAACCCAGTTGTGTTGGGCAATGCCATTGGTGCTGCTGTCGTTGCGACTGCTCTGGGTATTGGCGCGTACAGAAAGTATGCTCGTGGAGAGCTTACTGGAAAGCTTGTTGCGGCTTGGGTGGGCGTCCTCGGTCTGTTTGGTGTTGGCGACTACTACGTCTCGCAGTAAGTGGCAGGTATTGGATGTGGCAGTGTAACTTCTAACACGGATCAGGTACTTCTTCAAGCGCTACCCACCAAAGAACTAAAGGGTGTGTCGTCGAAGATACTTCCTTTCCGACCTCCATGCTTTCCGCTCTCTTCTCTACAGCTTGTAGGCTTTGACGATGCCTGCGTAAAAAAGCCCACACCAGCCCAAACGGCTTTAAGAGCAGTTGAACTATCTTTGGAATTTGGCAACAGTACTATAGCAGGCACAACGCTCTCATCTCGTTCTAGCCTGGAGTTGGTAGCTCTAGCGAGTCTTCTCTGTACATACGGAGGTTCACTATTCAATTATACCCACATTTCAACAGCCAATTCTCTCACTTGAAATGACCATACCCATAATCATAATGACGCCTGTGCTTGCGGTCTTGCGTTGATCAGCGGCGGGACCGGGATGACGGACTGCAGCACGTGATCGACACGCCAGGTACGGCAGCGCTAGCTTAGAAATCTAGTGCAACATGGAAAGTTCTACGTCACGACGCGAGGTCCGTCCACGTCCAACACGCCTTCGAATTTCCTTGTCTCTCTTTCAGTCAATTTCACTCCAGCACCATGTACCGAGCGGCCCCACGGTTAATTGCGCGTTCAGCGCTCCCACGAACCATTGCGCCCACGCGGCGCTTCATCAGCACAGCTCCCCCAACGCAAAAGTCAAGAAGCTGGAAGAGCCTGGTGGCGCGCTTCGGTATCGCAGGCACAATCATATACTACTACTACAACAACACGGATGTTTTTGCTGAAGAACCACAACGTATGTAACAATGGCACTGGCAATGGTGGGAGTTGTTGCTGATAACATGGCAGATCCCGTCCAAGCCCTCCCCGAAACCGAGACGGAATCCGAACACCTCCCCACCATTGAATCTATAGCTGCCGAGCGCGAGAAGCGCAAGGCCGTGCAAGCTCAACTCGATGCGCAGGCGCAGGCGCAGAAAGAAGCTCAAAGTACACAGCAAGATGGCGGAGAGGGTGGCATGCAAGGCCTCGAAGGCGAAGCCGACCAGCAAGGCGCCTTCAATCCCGAGACAGGCGAGATCAACTGGGACTGCCCGTGCCTGGGCGGCATGGCGACAGGCCCGTGTGGCGAGCAGTTCAAGGCGGCGTTTAGCTGCTTTGTGTACTCGGAGGAAGAGCCCAAGGGCATGGATTGTATTGACAAGTTCAAGTAAGTTGACGGACGTTTAGGAGACGTGTTACAGGGCTAATTATGAGGCAGGGACATGCAGAACTGCTTCCGCGAGTACCCGGAGGTATATGGCTCGGAACTCGAGGGCGATGAAGATGAAGGAGAGGATCTTCCTGCTCCTGGACAACCGCAACCACAGCCTCAATCCGAATCCACACCCACAGCAGCGTACTCCGACTCCACGCCCGCGCCTTCTTCGAAACCCCGCGAAACCGGCGCCTCCGAAAAAGCCAAGCTCTCCGGCGAACCCGATTCAAAACCCTCCTCCACCACCGCCGCCAAATCCACTGTATCCAGTGGATCCGATTCAAAACCCGCCGAGACGAAGAATAATCTAGGCCTCGTGCCGGATAACTACAAGCCTGATGCGAAGGAGGAGCCCGTGAGTGAGAGCGAGGAGCTGGTGCCTAAGGCGGCACATGATGGGAGGTAAAGCAGGAAACAGACAGGGAAGTGTATTATAGTAGACGGTTGCATGTGCATGGTTTGGAGTATGTGGAATGGGAGGCATGCAAGCTGTATAATATGTATCATGTATCATGTGGTGCTGAGAAGCCATGTACAGTACAATACGACAAGTGTTCCAGTGTTAGGATGAGTGCTAGTGCGAGAGTGTGAGTTGCTCGATAAACGAGAGCGCGATGATGAGGTAAGACGGTACTGTATCCTGAACATATTCACAGCATTCTCAGACGGCCAGGAGAGTGTTAGGTGTCCCTTGATTGTAGAGGATGATGATTAGCGCGGATATTGCAACGGTCGGTCATGTGACGATTTGGTGTCCTGGAGGTATACACCGCATCATCAGACGTCCAGTGTGCAAATGCAATGCATAACAAACACATGTAAACTGGGTACCCGAGACAGATCCTAAACAGTACACAAAAAAAGGAGGACTTTGTCTTTATTTCAGCCAGGTAATACCGTAAAAGAAAAGCAAGAATTAAGGAAAAGCCAAGCCAAAGTATTCATCCTGTCCTCGAGAAGGCTCTGCGCCAAAAACACCTCCCCCCTCCCCTTACCCTTCATGACCCTCTCGCACCTAAATCTCCATCTTCGCATACCCCTCTGCACCCTCCGCAACAGGCTGCACCCCTTCATCGACACTATCCCTCTTCGTCCCCATGCCATCCTCGCCCTTGCCCACGCCAAACGCACGCATCGCCTCCGCAAGCCTCTCCATCGCCTCATCCGGCTGCGCTCCCGCGGTAGCCGCAATTTTCTTCGTCGCGTCTTCGAGCGCGCGAACTCGGCGCTGGAAGTTGAGGCGGTCCATGAAGAGCTGCTGGCGGCGGCGCTGGAGATCGCGGCGCTCAGCAGAGAGGAGTTTCTCAAAGTCGTTGAAGTGCGCGAGCTTGAGCTGGAGTTTTTGCAGTTGTAGGTTGACGGTGCCAGACACGAGGCGCGTGATGTGGCGCTCCTCGTGGGAGGCGAGGGCCGAGGCGCGTGCGGCGGAGAGGGCGAAGGGGAGGGTGACGAGCGGGTTGGACGGGTCGGACGGGGTGCTGGTGTCCTTTGTGGTGAGGGCGGTGGAGGAGTCGACGTCCATGGCGTCGGCGCTGCCTTCGGGCTTGACGTCTGATGATGCAGTCGCGGTCTCGCCTTCCTTCTCCTTGCCCTTTTCTGAGGGCGCGGTGGGGGTCTTGTTGATCTTGTCTTGGAGGATGCGCTTCATCTCCGTGACGCTGCGGCCCGAGGCGACGGCGGCTTCAGTAACGTTCGCGGGTGCAAGACCAGCGAGGAAGCTGACGACACTCAGGACAGGGTTTTCAGCGTGGTGGATTGGCGCACGGCCTGCGTTGAGGTACTCCAGATCCTTTAGGAACTTCATCGATGGTGCAGCAGGCTCATTTGATGGCACGTCTGCCTCAATGTACTTGTCTTCAATCTCGAGTTGCAGGAACTTCATCACACACTGCTCGCGAGTCTTGGTCTGGACATGGTCGGCGACTCGGTTCCAGTCATCATCAAACTCCTCCAGACCTTCGAGCAGCAACAGGACCTCCTCTTCAGACCATTTCTCCTCGCCGTCTGGCGCTGGTGAGTACTCTGGGTTGGAGACCTTGACGTAGTTTGCGCTTGACGTATTACCGGGGAAATTAGCCTCCGAGTAACATCTTGGGCAGACGACCCGCTTCAAGCCGCCTACACTCTTGGTTTGTCCAGCTGCTTCCGGAGTGCTGGTCTCGTGGAAATGTACACGGGTGCATTCGACGCCGCAGCTGAAGCAGTTGATCACCTTGATGGGCTCCTTCGCGGCAGCCTCAAGATCTTTGACATCGGCTGAATTGCCGTTCGCCACAGTCTCACCATTCGATGCCTTGGGTTCTGCTGACGCCTCTTTGCCGTTCGCCTCGTAGATGTTGCGTCCGGCCAGCGATTTGGTCTCGCTCTTTGCGGTGGGCTGTTGGCTCGCAGCGCGGTCGGTACCGGCGTGCTGCTTTCCATCAGTGACCTTGGATCCAGGGCCTGGTTGGAATGGCTGTAGTCCTCGGGGTGTATCAACGGTAACGCGGAAGTGGCCGGTGAATGGAGGACCAATGTTTGATGGGCGCTCTTGAGGGTCGACCTGCGCTCTTGTTAGTGAAGCAATGGAGCGTGGTGGAGAAATCATACCTGGTAGTTGATCAATCCCCACTGCTCGAGGAAGGCGTGTACGCGCATGATGGCGCAAACGTCACCAGCCAAGTTCCTTCTGCATGCTGTGACGGTAAGGTACTCTGACGGGTTCAAGCGGTATGTGTTGATCATGAAGTCGCGATAGTCGCGGTACACGGCGGGCGTCTTGCTGCGGTTGCGGTTGTTGAAGAACTCGGGCAGGGCCTTGCGCTCGCGGTAGTCGATGTAGCGCATATCGAACCATGTCGCGTAGCTCGGAATGATGGTCGCATATGTTTGCGTGACGAAATGCGAGCGTGCAGCAGATTGCAGGTCAGCCTTTGCTTGCGCCTCCGGGTCCACTACTTCAGCACCATCGGCGTCCTTCTCTTTCTTCGTGTCATCGGTTCCGCCCATCTCCTCGTCGTCCTGGCCGTCGGCATCTTCAGCATCCGGTCGCGGGCCGTCTGGTGCGTCGAGAGGGTTGTCAGAAGCCACGGCTGGGGTCGCTGCTGAAGGTTCGCGTGAAGACTCTTTGATGGTTGGTTCTTCAATCATGCTTGTGTCTATCAAAGCGTCAAAATCAAACTCATGCTCGTCTGAAGAGAACATGGCGCTCGTCTACGTTATGTCTTGGTGTTGAGGTAGTGAGGCGGAAACGGGCCAAACTGTCGCAATCTCTTGCGCGGCGGCCAGAACTAACGTGTAGGGCAATGCGCCTTGGGTAACGTACCTTGGTCAAGAGCATTGATATCTGTAGCACCTTCCCCAGCGATAAGATCTTGCGCTGTCGCGTCGTCGGCCATAGCTTCGAAAAGTGCTCAGGAACACTTGCGATGCGTCGGGGCTGGCACGTGTTGGGCGCACGTCGATGCTGCACGTAGGGCGCAAGTGCACGGGTATTGACGCGATATCGGCGAATATGCGCCTGGTGATTGCAGTGGTGGTGAGAGCAAAGGAGTGTGGGGATGGAGGGGATGCGATGGGTTGATGGGTCGCGTCTAACTTCGCGATCCTCTCGCACGCCAACCCTGACCGAGACTACGGAGCAAGCGCCACACGTGACCGCAACGCCCGCTCCGAATCTGCGCTGCCTGCACATGCGGCAACAGTTTGTGCACGACGACATGCGTCCATGCCCTCATCTTTAGGGTGCTCTAAATGCATTCACAGCAGCATGTAATCACCAGAAACTTTGATGTCATCTACAAATAGCATCCACTTCTATACGAATCTAGCTACTTCAGGAAGATTGTACGCAACACCATCACCAAGTGGCGCTGTAGTGCCCGCCAACGAAGCGCCCATTGACAAGGAAGATGCAATAATCTTTTGGGAGACCCTGTATGCCTTTAACAGGTAGTGTTTCGCATCTAATCATCGAATAATCTTGTGAAGCCATACAGGCTACCTTGATATTTGGCAGCTCCCCAACAGTGGAGAACCTATGTAGAACACTTGGACTCTGTATGTGCCCGGCGTCTCAACCAGTCGTGACTCCGGGCTACGTATTCCCACTTACCCGTCTATCACCTGCCTTACTCAATCTGCGCCAACCACCTCGGATCCTGGGCGCTCTTCAAATCACCATACTCCCGATCGATCCAAATGTTTAAGTTTTGATCGAGCAGCGAACCCCCAATGGCGAATTTTATGAAACAGTCGCGCTCAAGACACTTTCCAATTGCATTCGACTGCCACATGCGGCCATACTGCGGCCTGAGGTCGACTCCTTCCTGCATCCTCGTATCAGGTCCCTTCTCCACCAGCCAGGACCACTGCATAAGTAACGAGATAGCCCTCTCGCTGTCTGATGTCAAGTGTGGACAGATGTACATAATACGTTTGGTTAATGCCTCTCTGATCATCTGGGCCGTCAACGGGCGATCATAGCTAACTCGAGGCAAATATTCTATGCGTGAGATGCGGTTGCGAGTAGGGTCAACCTCGGGCGCCCTGGAAAATATACCTTGTCTGTGGTTCGGATGACCGCAATATACTGGGTCAGGAATGCCAGAAACTAACCGCCAAACCCGTTGGAGGAAAGTGAAAGTCGGTATCTTGCGGATCTCTTCGAGTGTGAGGGTTGCATGCTCGCATATGCGTATGCGACCTGCAGCCCCTATGCATATACGTTCAAAGGTCGGTGCGATGATGTTTACAGGAGAGAAGCAGGAACGCGCGTGGCATTCCATACACGAGCTACAGAACAGCTTAGTGAGCCATCGTTGCGGGGTTGCTGCTTCTCTTGCTTCTGTCCGGGTGAGAAAATCCCGATGAAGTCGTGCCACAAACTGCGCTCGCCCTTGCGCTGAGAATGGTATCCGTGGTGGAGGAGTACAACAGCACGCTGCCTGTAGACTAGAGTAGTCGACCTCATCTAACTGGGTGGTGATGAGATCAATCAGCTCTTGCGGCAAACGGTAAAGTCGATTTGACTGAGTATTCTCCAAGTAATGGCGCTTTGCCGTGCGTTCGTTTCGCCATTCTCTGAAGTAAACCGTGCATCGCGCGAATAAACTCTCTACCGGTCTGATAAGGGTGGTAAGTAAGTCTTCGTGTGGCCCAGAGCCATCCACATGGAAAGCAGAATAGGATGTAGTGAGAGTCATAGCCCTTTACTGATGTCCGTTCAGAATAGGAAGAGTTGAAGAGAGTGTATGAAAAATTTCTATCGTATCTATGTGTGGTCCCAGATCCGCAGGTGCAGAATCTCCATGGGGACCCAGATACTTCCGAACCAAAGAGTATCGATTGTTCGGCTCTCATGGTGGCGGTCATGATTTCAGCTAAACCTAAGACACGATTAGTCGTTGGGGGTGTTCACATAACCATATTTTCGAATCATCCGTTCTGAAGATGGAGGAACGTCTGGAACATGGAGGTTCACGGGATTTGAAGTTATGGAGCGGTCGCAACACGTGCCTGCAGCTCGCTCCGAATCGATGCGAGGGCTAGCGCCGGATATCCAACCTTGACAGGCCGAGGTCATTGTGCTCCGCAGTCTTGAAGGCAATACCTTTGCATTGCTCTGCGACAATCGACGTGATACCCCACGACCCCATTTCCTCTTCTTCTGGTGTGTTATTTCCCTTTTAGAACATCATGTTGCCTGCAGCACGTAGCTCGGTCTTGCGAGCAGCCCGCACACAGCTCCGACGGTCACATCCCATCGCCGTTCCACAATACTCTGCCTTCGCACGATTAGCCTCCACATTTGCCGTCCTCGAGCAAAAAGATGGAAAATTCCAGCCGGCATCTTTAGCAGCAGTCACAGCGGGAACCAAGATTGGAGGCTCAATAACAGCATTCATCGCTGGAAGTGGGGTCAAGTCGGTCGCAGAAGAGATTGGAAAGGCAAAGGGCATTGAGAAGGTCATCTACGTGGAGAATGGAGCATACGACAAGGTCAGAGGTTCGCGATGGTTGGTCGAGGTGTAATGTCTGACATGTGGTTGTAGGGTCTTCCTGAGAACTATGCGCCACTCTTGGTCGAGAACATAAAGAAGGGCGGATATACACATGTTGTTGCCGGACACTCTGCTTTTGGAAAGAACCTGATGCCACGAGTATCAGCTCTTCTAGATACCCAGCAGATCTCAGACATCACGGCTATTGAGGGCGAAGACAGTAAGTGGGGTGTCTCGCAGACTTCAGAGATGTGGTGTTGACAGCACGCAGCATTTGTACGCCCGATCTATGCCGGTAACGCCATCATGACAGTCCAATCGAGCGACAGCATCAAGATCATTACCGTTCGCGGCACCGCATTCCCTGCCCCCGAGACCGAGTGTGGATCCGCCACACTAGAAGAGGGCGTTGACCCCAAGGCCGAAAGCCCCACAGAATGGATATCCGAAGACCTTGCGAAGTCTGACCGTCCCGATCTCGGTTCAGCAGAGAAGGTTGTGTCAGGAGGCCGTGGTCTCAAGTCCAAGGAGGAATTCGACAAGCTCATGCCGCCGCTAGCCGATGCGCTTGGTGCTGCTATCGGCGCGTCAAGAGCCGCAGTCGACAGTGGCTTTGCAGACAACAGTTTGCAGGTTGGACAGACTGGAAAGAACGTTGCGCCACAGCTGTACCTCTGCGCTGGTATTTCTGGTGCAATTCAGCATTTGGCTGGTATGAAGGACAGCAAGGTCATCGCAGCCATCAACAAGGACCCTGAGGCGCCTATCTTCCAGGTCGCAGACGTCGGCCTCGTTGGTGATTTGTTCGAGAAAGTACCAGAGCTCACAGAGAAGCTCAAGGCATAGTTTCGTCAGCTTGTGATACTTACTTCTGTACATATATCCAAAAAATGAATAAGTTATGAAATACAACCATCTCGTCTTGTCCCTTCCCTTTGACACTTTTGCACATGCACATTGCTGGTTTGAGGTGTCATTGGCTGTTTCCGTGCAATTAGTGTACATTCACGCCCCCTCAATGACAACGCCTTGGCATACGCAAACAAGCCTCCACCGATCGACGCTAAGCCTCCGCGCTACCCCACGTCTAACGTCCAGCTGGGAAGCCATGCGCAATCCACGGCCTCGACTCGTACAGGATGCCTGCTGTCCCATGAAACCAACAACAATGTTAAAACGACATGCGCCCCAAGCGCCTGACTGTCATTCCGCGCTGTCCCGCGTAGACGCTAGCTAGTGTCGCCTCCATTCGTTGTTGAGAAAACTTCCAAACTCTCTTGTTCACTCCCGATCGCTTCGCCCTTTGACATCTTCCAAGGGCCGTGAGACTTTCTAACATACGATGCGCCTGCCGCGGTGATGCCGTCGAACACGACCGATGATGCGTGTGGTGGGAACACGCTCAACAACAGTTCAAAGGAGAAACATCGCTGGTGGAACATCTTCAGACGCCGCACCCAATCCTCAGACAGCGACTGGTGGTTCGCCAGCACCGGGATCCCACTCCTCGCCGCGACCCTCGGCCCCCTCGCCAACGTCTCCTCCATTGCCGCCCTCGTAACTAGCTGGCGCCAAACCAACTACCTGGACGGCAGCTTCGTGTCTGATTTCGACGGGGTGCCGTATGCTGATCCGCGATGGTGCTACTGGATCAATGTCGCCTCGCTGATATCCGGGTTCTTGGGGAATTTGTTTCTGTTATTGAACTTCACGCAGCGGATTAGATATATTGTGGCGCTACCGGCGTCAATTGTTTGTTGGTATCTTTCTTCAGGGTTTTTGATTGCGATTACGGCGTGTATGCATGTTTATGTGCCGCCTGAGAGGCCAAATGAGGGATGGTGAGTTGAAAGTTTGAGATTCTACTGTACTTGATAAGCTGACTTATGTATAGTAAGTGTTGTTTTCTTGTTATCCTGAGACTCTCGAGCCGAATCTGAGACTGTATTTGTGAATGGTAACAGCTTGGCTAATGCTCAATAGACACTCAAGGCTTCTGGTACGCCATTGCTGCTGCAGTTCTCTATACCGTGTGCTCCATGGTCTTGATGGTCAATATGCTTGGCTACTTCCTCGGGCACTATCCAGAAAACTTCCAACTAAGTGACAGCCAACGTACACTAATCCTACAAAGTATGGCTTTCTTTGTCTGGCTCGCAGGTGGCGCAGCTGTGTTCTCTAAGATAGAAAAGGAAGCTGGCGAAGATGATTGGGGCTTCCCAGACGCACTTTACTTCTGCGACGTCACCATCCTCACCGTCGGCTTTGGCGATCTAGTACCTACCACTGATGTCGGTCGAGGCATCGTGTTCCCATACTCGGTCGGTGGTATCATCACGCTCGCCCTTATCGTGTCGTCTCTATACAAGGCCGTCCGCGAAATCGGCGAAGAAAACGTCATTCAGAAACATGTCGACCGCATGCGCGAAAAGGCTCTGGAGCGTACTGTTACCAACTCCTTTGACCTCCGTCATCAGGAGCATAATGCACATCATCTCATTCGTAAACGCACACGAAACTTTCCAAAAATTAGCAAGCCGGCAGATCCGCGACCTTTACGCACAGCCATGGGCAACTCAGTCGCGCGAGCGACCACGTTTTCTCGCAGTGTTGTGCCGGATGCGTTGAAGATAAACAGGAAACCGAAGCTCATGCTACTTAAGGAAGAAAAGGACCGTTTTGATGCCATGCGCCAGATCCAAGCGGACAGTAAGAAGTTCAGGAGATGGATGGCGCTATTTTGGTCTGTCACTGTTTTTTCGATCCTTTGGTGTGCCGGAGCTGTTGTCTTCTGGCAGGCGGAGAAAGAGACACAGGGATTGACATATTTCCAAGCCCTGTATTTCTGCTACATTAGTTTGTTGACGATCGGATATGGAGATCTTGCGCCAAAATCGAATGCTGGTCGCTGTTTCTTTGTGATTTGGAGTTTGGTTGCTGTACCAACCATGACTATTTTGGTTTCGGATTTGGGTGACACAGTGGTTGCGAAGTTCAAGAAGTGGAGCGACGAATTGGCGGACTTTACTGTGCTGCCCAAAGAAGGTTGGTTCTCATTGTCATGCACGATCATCGATACAGACTGACACTGAACATAGGTATATGGCGCGCCTTCGTCGAAAAGCACCCCTGGCTCCTAACCTGGCTCCAACACCGCATCGAATCCCACGAATCCAAACGCCGCCTCCGCAAAGGCTTCGACGTCGCCGACCCGCGCAATGACAGCGCCACGAATGCTCCCTCCAACACAGACCCCAAAGACCCGGATCTCGAACTCACACAAAACCCCACAATCCCTACACTCGCCGCCGAAGCCGAAAACGACGCATCCACGCCTCCCACCCAAGCATCTTTATCCCGCCGCCTCGCCCTCAGCATCAAGAAAGTATCTCTCGACTTCCGCCTTCCGCAGCCCAAACGTTACACCTACGAAGAATGGGTTGAGTTCACGCGCCTTGTTCGGCTGACGACGCCTGAACGGCTGGATCGCGATTTGGGCACGACGATTAGCAATACTGGCACGCTGAATGAAGAGGGATTGGTTAATTGGGATTGGATTGGCGATGATAGTCCGATGATGAGTGGGGTGACGGAAAGTGAGTGGTTGCTTGATAGGCTGTGTGAGAGTCTGGTGCGGTTGGAGAGGAGGAAGGAGGTTGCGTGCGAGATGGGGGGATTGGGGGCTATGGTTGTTATGGAGGGGAGGAAGGCGGGTGAGGATGCAGGTGGGAGTGATGGTGAAAATAGAATGGCGAAGCAGGGGCCGCCGGATTGAGAATCGATTAAAAGATGTTTTGTATTCATATATTTCGGTGTCTTCCACGACCCATGCTCTGAGTTTTGTCTCCTGGTCGAATTGGTCGTGAAACTATCTAGGGTTTGTATTAATAATAATGAATAGCTTCAGGGGTCTCTATGAATAAAGGAAATTGCGGTTGAGGAGAGACCTGAGAAGCTGACATCTATGACTTTAGGACGGGAGCATTAGGGCCGATTTTGTCACGCTAGCACGCGTCTCTAGCGCGATCGATCTCTGCTCTCGACATCTTCAAGCGCGTACATCACAGAACGTATCAGAACCTTGACTCGACAGAATACTCGCCTCAAAGATACGTCGCACTATGGCACCACGAAAGAAGCCTGTGATGATAGGCAAGCCGAAAAACAGCAAGACTGCCAAGACACACACTATTCCGATACCTGAAGGGATTACATCAATAGCTCTACCACCTTCACGCGTGCATCATGCGTCATACCACTATCCACTCCTGCTTGACGATAGAAAGGCTTGTGATGGGTTGCTGAGCTGGTTCAAAGGCGTCGAAGAGACGCGCAGTATGCCTTGGCGGAAGACATGGATCGATCCAAAGGACTACGAAGGAAAAGCGGAAGAGCTAGGAACAGTACTAGGCAAGAGAGCGTATGAGGTTTGGGTCAGTGAAGTCAGTAAGTTTACCTGCCAGTTTGCGAGCGCACCTCCCTATCAAGTCACGTGCCCTCACCTTATCCATCTAGCCATGGCGTTTTTTCCTAACTTTAATGCAGTGCTTCAGCAGACAAGAGTGTCCACTGTGATTCCTTACTTCAACAACTGGATTTCAAAATGGCCGACAGTACAAGATCTTGCCGACGCAAACCACGATGATGTTCTTGCAGCGTGGAAGGGACTGGGCTATTATTCACGAGCAACGCGACTTCATGAAGGCGCAAAAGCCATGATAGCGCAATCTGCTGGCTCAACTTGTCCTCTCCCGAGCAAAGCAGTCGATCTGCAAGAATTTCCTGGTATTGGTAGATACACTGCAGGTGCTGTATCTAGCATTGCGTTTGGGGAGCCGGAGCCGGTACTCGATGGAAACGTGATCAGAGTGCTCAGTCGACAACTCGGTCTTTACATGGATGGGAAAGACAAGAAGGCTACTGACGTTTTGTGGGAGGAAGCTGACCGCCTGATCAAGCACGTTTCCGGCCTGTCGGATGCAGGTGTAAGCGAAGTGCCAGGACAGTGGAACCAAGCGCTTATGGAGCTAGGCTCTACGGTATGCACGCCGAAGCCACAGTGCGCTGATTGCCCGATACAAGCGACCTGTAGGGTCTACAGTGAAGGCCAGGCGCTGTCGACCAAACGCCAGTCGCCAACAGTGATACCTGATATTGAAGATGCATGCACCTTATGCGAGTTACTGGATACCGAGGACCTGGCAACAATTACAGAAGAGACTGAGGATATTGAGACACCAAAGGCAACCAAGAAGCGGAAGGCCAACACGAAGCAGAGCAACAAGATTTCGCAATACTTTGCTATTGGGAAGACCGAACCACAACCGACCACAGATTGCGAGGATGACGAGATTGCAACTGAAGGCTCGGACCATCTGAGCTCCAAAAAACGGAAGGCTTCCTTGTCTGATCCTGTGGCAACATCAATCATGAAATCAACGGTGATGTATTGCTCACTGTTTCCCAAGAAAGTGGCCAAGAAGAAAGCCACGGAGGAAGAGTGTGTCGTATGTGTCGTTGAATTACGTCCATCAACAGGGAACAGCAAATGGCTGATTGAACAGAGGCCAGCCAAAGGTATGAAACTTGAGAATTCAACCCCGACTTTACATCCATGCTAACCGGTTCGCAAGGTCTCCTGGCATCCCTGTGGTACGTATCGCGTGGCTTATGGAAATCTTTCCTCTTTCGATTCGATGCGCAGCGAATGGCGATAGGCCGTACTTTCGGCTCTCAATTACCTTATCACTGGTTCCCAACTAACTTTTCATATCTAGGCAATTCCCGCAATGTACCTTGTCAGCATCAAAAAGTACACCTGCGTCTCGTAAAGCGTCGGCGCAGAAGTACTTATCAAGCCTTAGCATTGGCGACGTTGATGCGGGCGACGCAGTTCATGTCGCCGCTTTCCCATCATTGGTCCACGTCTTCACACACATCAGACTGACCATGCACGTCCATCAATTCAGCATTGCCTGCGACGACATCGAAGGTTTCGTCTCTGATGACGTTGGCCCGCCCGCTCGGAGATGGGTGGAAACCGAGTCTATGGATGAACAAACACTGTCCACTGGCATGCGCAAGTGCTGGGATCTTATTTCAAAGTAGGGCGGGTATTCTCACGTCACCCTCCACTCAGTTACAATTCCTCACACAACTCGCGTTCCCCACGAGCCGTTATCTCTCGCCAAGAGATACACACCTGGCTTCCGCACTGCCGCAACCTTGGCATATCCACCACTTCTTGGCAATTCTGGGGGAGAGCCGAATGATAAGAGCAGTTCATGGTGAACCCGCTATACTATATGCGGCGCTGTAATCCTATCCATGGCGCCTATGCACCTCCCAAGGAGGATTTGGCCGAAAGGCGAGCATTGCGTATCATTGCACTTGATTGGACTGTCTCAGGTTTGTGTGCCATGAGCATGCGGATAAGATGTGTACTCCATGACACAGACGCGGTTGAGCGCTGACTACATAATCTCGTGGTGCTCCACATTTCGAAATACTGGCTTTATTACACAGGCATCTCGAGTTACCGCTCCCAGTAGACATGGCGACATTACCAGCTCCCACTCCAATTGTGGAGTGGCCGGACTACAACCTTCAGCCAAATGGAGGAGATGTTATGACGACAGATTTGAATGCACTCTATGACAAAGGCGACCTTTGCTGGATGTTGGTCAGCACGATTCTATGCTGGTGAGTTATGCAATTGAGTACACCAGCAATGTCTAACATGTCCAAGGCAAATTACTCCAGCTATTGGCTTTCTCTACGCCGGCATGCACCGAAGAAAAGCTGCACTCACCATGATATTCCAGTCGCTTTTCTGCGCATGTGCCGTGGGCATCCAGTTCTGGGTGTACGGATACTCACTCTATCAATCTCACACTACTGGCCCTTTCATTGGCGATCTGTCCAAAGCTGGTCTTCACAATACGCTTGGTTATCCTTCGCTCGCAAACTCTGACATCCCCGACATCCTATACGCCTGCTTCGGCTTTACATTCGTGACATGTACGGCAATGATTCTCGCCGGAGCCATGCTTGAGCGCGGCCGCATGTGGCCTTCGATGCTATTTTTACTTTGCTGGACGACATTCGTTTATTATGTTCTAGCATATGCCGAATGGAATCCAAGTGGCTGGCTGTTCAAGCTCGGAGTCTATGATTTTGCTGGCTCAGGACCAGTTCATATCGCATCGGGCTTCTCAGCATTGGCTTGGGCGGTCATGTTAGGCCCAAGAGCTGATCCGCACAAAGAATCGCATCATCCCAGGATACCACATTTTAGGCCCCATAACCCTTTTCTTGTGGGTCTTGGTACGATCTTGATCTGGTTTGGCTGGTATGCGTTCAATGGTGAGTAAAATACTTTCATTACAGAGGGATCGTAAGTACTACTGCTAACGCCAGACAGGTGCTTCCACTGCCAATATCTCCATCCGCTCAATCTACGTCGTATGCAACACCAACCTTGCGGCCTGTGGCGGCGGCATGGCCTGGGCTCTTCTTGAATACGCGCACAGTGGAAAGTTCTCAATCATCGGTTTCTGCTCCGGAATCATCTCAGGTCTAGTTGGAATTACGCCGGCTGCCGGCTTCGTACCGATTTACGTCGCGTCGCTCGTCGGAGCCTTGACCTCTTGCTGCTCCTACTTCACGGTCAAGTACAAGTACCTACTTCGTATCGATGAGGGTCTCGATATCTTCGCCATCCACGGTGTTGGCGGCTTCGTTGGCGACATCCTGACTGGATTCTTCGCTGCTGACTACGTACCAGCCATGGACGGCGTGACAAATACGTATGAAGGTGGATGGTGGAATCGCAACTGGAAGCAGATGGGCTACCAATTAGCTGCTGCTTGTACATGCGCTGCATGGTCATTTGTAATTTCCATCATACTGCTCTTCATTATCAACAGGATCCCGGGATGCCACATCAGGGCGTCTGAAGACGATGAGCTTAGAGGATTGGACTACAAGTACTTCCACGACGTTGAGGGCGATATGATGGTCTTGGATGGGTATGGCGCGTCAACCCCAGGAATGACCAGGTCTGGTGTTGTGAGCAATGCTCCCAGTCACGAGGGTGTTGAAGTTCCTATTTCGTCTGAGAAGCGAGATTAATCCAGGAATATCACCGGTTCTTGAGAGAATTCTTACATGAGCCCGATGGATCAAAGCATCGTACGACAAACAACACATTAATCTAATTATACTGCATTTTCGACCCACCCTTCTTGACTCTTCCTGCTTACCTCCTTCCTTCGCGCGTTCGATAAGGTACACGCGACCGGTCACCACCAGTCCGGCGACGCCTTCTCGTCTATCTAGACTTTATTTGGCTAATGCCTTCAACACGCCGCGGCATCTGCAAGGTACCAATAAATGCCACCGCGCCCCCAATCGCGCCACTCAATTCCCATCATCTCCAATTACCCTCCTTGTTTGAAAAGCATTTCCAAGATGAAGTTCATCGCCACTATCAGCAGCCTCGTTGCGCTGACGGCCGCAGCCCCAGATCCACTTATTACTCCACGGGCTGAAGTCGCGGCGCGCCAGGACACCAACCCTGCTGCGCTGGGGTATGTGAGCGCGTCGACGTGTAAGTGGTCCCATCTTTACATGCTTCCGAAAGCACGCATTACAAATCCACCTAACGCATAGTAGTCTCCGACCTCCGTTCCTGCGACTACCCCGCAACCCTTTCCCGCAGCGGCTCCCTCGCACAATGCTGTCAAAGCAGCTCCTGCATCTTCTGGTCCTCATGTTCAGCGGGGACACTATTCGCCAGTCAAACCTCGCTGTTCTGCGATCAGGGGTATTGTAATACCGCTGTGCTCGTTCCTACTGTTGGTGCGAGCAGTGGGCAGAATTACCTTGGGTGTTGGGCGACGAGCCTTGGGCAGAGCCCGTTTACCATTGTTGCTGATGTTGGGAGCGGTTAGTGATTACCTGTTGTACTGGGTTCTTGAGTTGTGATTGCTAATTATGTACTGTATAGCTGCGGTAGGCGTCGCTACGGGTTCGGTGACTGGAAGTAGCAGTGCGAGGGCTACTGGGGCGTCTTCTGGAGGTCGTTCAAATGCGGCTACATCTGCAACTGGGAGCGCGACGCCTGCATCGTCGTCTGTTGCTGTACAATCATCTGGAGCCGCTGAACATGCTGTCGTCCAGCCATTGACCGGCTTGTTTGGTCTGGTCGCAATGGTGTTCGGTATGTTATGAGACGATCAAGTGGTATATGCGAAGGTTCAATGATGAGCATGAAGTGACAGACAATATTGGGAAGTACTTCGTTTCTGATGTGTACATAGTGGGGACCTGAAAATCGTAGACTAATGCAGGCACGGCCGGCTCCCCGACAATCTCGCACTTCGGCCCTTGGGGCGTGCTGTAAACTCCATGTCACTAATCAGCCTGACGTCAACATGCATTCGTTCAACACCTTGCTCTTGAAGGATTCCTTAGAGCCCACTGTACTCCAGACTAGTTACACTGTAGGCCCCGCTCGGATCCCTTGAAATCCGGTAGGAACATCTTGTACATGTGACTGTAAAGTACACATAGCACTATAAGTAGTCGGTCGACAGGTGATTCCAGATATCACTTCGCCAAACATCACAATAACCTCATCCTCTTGAAACAAAACATAACCTAGAAGCATCACAATCCTTATACACACCACCAAAATGTCCCCTCCCTCCCCCGTCCTCATCTTCAGTCCCTCCGGCGCCGTCGCCTCCTCCGCCGCCCTCGAACTCCAACGCCTTAATCACCCCATCTACCTCGCCATGCGCGACCCATCCAAACCCCTTCCAGGCCTCTCCACCTCTATCCCCCGCCTCCAAGCCGACCTCTCGGAACTCCCCTCCCTAACCCGCGCCGTGCAAGAATCTGGCGCCACAACCGCCTTCCTCTACACCATCTGGTCATCATCTGACCACATGGCCTCGACCTTCTCCACCCTGCAATCAGCAGGGATAACCTTCATCGTGCTTCTCTCCAGCTTCACCGTACGCGGCGATCAGGGTCAAGACACAGATATGAGCCAGCACATCAACGCCGTGCACGCGCGCACCGAGGCAGCGTTGGCAGCGAGCGGCGTGCCGTATGTCGCTGCAAGACCGGCGTATTTCAACAGTAACGTGCTCGCAAACAAAGCCGAGATCAAAGCGGGCAAAGTCGGGCTCGTGTATCCTGACGTCCCGTTTGATTTCATCGCGCCGAGTGATGTTGGGGTCGTGTGTGCGCGGCTTCTCACTTCGCCTCCACCGCAGGAGAGGCATGTGTATCTGTGTGGGCCGGAGATGGTGACGCAGCGGCGGGCGCATGAGGAGGTTATCGCCAAGGCGTTGGGTACGAGGGTGGAAATCGTGGAATTGGGGGAGGAGGCGTGGTTCGAGAAGATGGAGGGGTGGCCGAGGGGGATGGTGGAGAGTGTGGTGCAGGGACTCAGGGAGACGAGTCAGGGGAAGAAGGAGGCATATCCGGAGTGGATGTATGGGCCTGCGGTGGAGAATGTGAGGAGGCTGAAGGGAAGTGAACCGATGGGGTTGGGGGAGTGGGTGGAGAAGAATAGGGAGGTGTTTGAGTAGTTATCATTGATTATTGATCTTTGCAAGTGAGAGGGACCTAGCTGCTCTCTTTCGGGATGAGGTGCTACGTTTGTCTCGAGAGTACTCATGTTCTGGGTCCCAATGGCCGCCTCTCGAAGTACAAAGCCCCACTGGTGTACATAACCGCCCCAAGAGTCAATAGTGCAGCGTACACCGCGAACCCCGTCAGATATCTTGGCGCATCTCTATCTGGCCAGATGTAGCTGTTATAGATCTGCGCCAAGTTCCCTAGCCCTGTCATCCAAGCAAGTGCGATTGACCGCACCTCTGGCTCCACAGCACCCATCGTTGTCGTGCTCCAGGCGAGAGCAAGTGGTGCAGTGCAGTACAAGCCCATATTGAGGAAGCAAAGCAGCACATACCGAGCGGTGTAGTTCATCACTCCAGCTGTTATCGCGGAGAAGACGGCGGCGAGGAACATGGTGGCGGCGAGGTAGTAAGCTCGTCTCGAAGGATGTCGATCGCCCAGAATCGACAGAGCAATAGTAGCAGGTACAGCACATACATACAGCGGAGCAGTCATGAACTGTGCCGTTGTAGAGCTATAACCCAGTCCCTCAACAAGCGTGGGATAGAAATACCCAATTGAGAAACTCCCATCAACCATCATAAACGCGATGAAAAAAATCCAGTGCGCCGGGGTAGTCATGGCATACCACAATGCTTTCATGATCTTCATGCGTGACTCCTTGTCCACGTTGATGTTCAGCCCGTCGAGTTCTTGCCGGCTGACTGCCAGCGCGCGCTCATCGGCCGTAAGCTTCTTACACGTACTCGGATAGTCGAGGAGCACAAGGGGCGCGAGAAGTGCACATCCGCATGTTATAACGCCCTCAACCAAGAACAGCCAGCGCCATCCGGGGATGCCATGGGCGCCATCTAGTCCACTTGCAATCGCGCCAGCGAGGACGCCACCAAACGCACTCCCCAGGATACCCGCAAGCCAGAAAACCAGAAAGCGTTTGGTCTGCTCTGTTTTCCGGTACCACATACTGAAGATGTGCAAGACAGCTGGGCTAAATCCCGCTTCCAGAGCGCCCAGTGCGAATCTTAGACCCCATAGTTGCGCGGGGGTGTTGATGGCGGCTTTCGCTGCGACTACAATACCCCAGAGGAACATGATGGTTGGGATATATCTGCTCGGGCGCATGCGCGCGAGGATCATGTTCGATGGGACGCTGAAGACGATGTAACTGACTTGGAAGAGGTTGATGGCGAGCGAGTATTGCGTGTCAGAGAGATTGAGTGCCTCTTCCATGCCGGCTATCTTTGCGTTGCCGATGTTTGTGCGGTCCATGTACTAATCGGAAAGTCAAATCTCCTGTGTAAATGCTGGCTTGGATGCACTCACTGCTAGGAGATACAGGAACCAAATCGAAGGCATGAGATACATGTCGATTTTGCGTACAAGCGCCTTCTCTTCCGCAGACTTCACCGAGATTTCTTCATCGCTGCTCGTTGCAGTCTCAACTTGGCCCGCATAGTCGACACCTTTTTCCTGGAGTGATTGCGCCATTGTGTCGTTTCATGGCGGCAGCAAAGAGGGGAAGAGTCGAATACTTATGCTGATGACAAGTAGCAATTTAGAAAGCTTCTCAGTAATATAGATGGACCAATATAGCCAGCTTCGGAATATGACTGGTTGTAACGAAGTTGATGAGATACTTATGCTGATGGCTCCGACGATCATCTTGGCGGTACTCAACCGGCAATTTACCTAGAGCATTATGATTGAACCAGTTTGACACTTACTACGACATAGTTTCAGCATGATGTGCAAAGCCGATGGATACTTTTGTATCTTGTTGCCCACAGAAATCGAGCCGTAAAGCGCGTTCAAAGTCGTGGTGCTCATCGTAATGTTGTGTAGCGGAAGCAATTCGCCAAGCTCCTCCATCAATGCCAAGTAGTAGAGGCGGGGCAATGATGACGAGGATGCTCACGGCAGTGATGTTGCCCAGGGATCGAATCCGGGGTACCTTGTTAAACGCCACGGTGCATGTGAAGTCAGATCAAGTCGAAGTTTGGAGGGAGGAACTTGAAGGATGCCTCGTATTTCAGACACGCTAGTGACTAAGCGAGGGTCGTGATACATGCTCCTAAATGGCCGTTGCCAGAGAATGATCGCAATATGAGATGAAGTAAACCGTCTGCAAAAATTTCAGTTCCCGACGGTCAGTAGAGTAATGACATTGCAAGGTCATAACCTGGACCATTTCAAACGCCGAAGCAGAATGTAGCACAACTCCAGCGCAACGCATCTGACGCCTTCCTTCCCAAACATCATTGAACGCATGAGATATTCATTTACAAAGGCCGGTCTCGAGTGGGCTAGCCAGACTCGCGCCATCGTAACCATCGTCGAGCAACAGCTTTCTCCATCACTTCTTCAGGGCGGCGTCATACAAGCTCACCAACACACCAACAACGGCACCAATCTGTAGACCATGATAACCTCCTGGAACGTTGTTGCGCACAACACCAACGGTATCCGCGGAGAAGGGTCCCCAGCTGAGATCGTTGACCTGAATGCTGCCAGGTGTGCCTGCTAGAGCAGGGTTGGCCGTAGGAATGCGGTACGCGCTGTAAGCAAGGATGGCCTTCAGGATGTTGAAAGTGAGCGGGTCAGCGGGATATTGGCGGTCCTCAGACTTGCGGTTTGTGTTTGTGCGCAGGGTCAGGTTGAAGAAGTAGGAGAAGACTAGTGGGAGGACCCAACTCGTGAGGGACCAGAGAGTGGCTGGGGCCCACCAGTCGCTTGTGAGGAGCGCGAGGAAGTCTGGGATGAAGAGATATTGGCTGTTTGTCCATGTGGACAGGGAATCTGACAAGGCAATTGTGGGAGTCGTCTGCAGGGTGTTCCATTGTAGCCCGGCTGCTTCAAGCAGAAGAATGAGTGTCTGGATCGTCGCGACAGAGCTCGCGTTCTCACGCACGAGCTCCTTGAAGTAGTCGATGTGTGTACGGTTCCAGAGGTCGCTCGTCTTCTCCTTCATGACCTGGAACGACTGGTCGGCGACTTCCGCAAGCTGAGCTGGCGATGCGGGGATGTCAACCTGACCCATAACTTCGGAGACGCGTCGGGATACGGCTCGCGGAGTTCGAGTGACAAGTGCGGTAGCGCTCTCTTTTGCGCCCGCAGTCGCGTCGAAGAGTGGTTCCTCACTGTGCGAGTGTTAGCTTTGGCGCGTCGCGTGCGAGTGGAAGTCATACGAGGGAACTTTGATCAGCGTCCGACGACGCGTCTTGGTCAAGGTTACAGGCGCAGATGGCGATGAACGCTCGCGTTTTAGAGGCGATCCACTGCGACCATAGTAGTCGCGAAATTCGGGGTGCTTTGCATAGGTCGTCTCATTTTCGTTCAGGTGGTCTTCAAGTGCCTCGACCAAATCGTCCTTCAAGTATCCGTCGGCACTGCAGCACGTTGATTAGCTGAAATTCACGCGCGTGAAAAAGGAGCACGTACTTGGGCATTCCAGCCTTCTGCGCAAGTTCAATGAGCTCGCCTTTGCGCTTCTTTTGCAACCAAGAATGAGACATGATTTTCGCTGGGAATGCGGTCGCGTAAGTGTTGCGATCCGAATGATATGTGTTTTGAAGAGAACGGAGCGCGTTGCGGGGATCAAGTCTGGGATGGTGGTGTGTTGATAGTGGGCGGCGCGTAGCTGGTCAATGTTTACTCGAAACGGCTGGGTTCACGTGATCCACGCTAACTGAATTGAGGCTTATTCGATACCATCATACTGTCTCGCTACCATGGTCTACTGAGTACGACGCTGTTTTCGTCTGGACGAGGTACGAGAGGGCCTTTGCAAGAATGAGGGGTGCGGTACCTGAATCTGTGGGGTACGGTGCAGGGCGTCATCTGGTCTAAGTGCTGGCGATAGGGACGCTGGTAGCAGGGTGCGGCGTCGGCGTCCGGTCTTGGCCGAAATTTTGAGAAGCCGCCTAGCATCACCGCACTGCCACATGTAGAACCAGCGTCACTCATTGCACTCCCAATTCTACGCTTCCTCTCTCCTTGCGCCCATTCGTCCTTTCTCTCTGTACTTTACCCGTTACTAAACCCAAGCGCCGTGTCGCTACGGAAGCTCTACGCTAATGGTACTTGCCCGTGTGGCCAACTTCTTCACCAACGGGGACTCTACAAACGATCTTGTCGACAAGCGAAGCAATGATGCTAGCGCAATGCAAAAGCTTGAAACCATGGCGGATACAATCGGAAGCGCGGTCGAGGAGGAGATAGATGACGAAGCGGCGCGACCGCCATATATACATGTGAGGGTGCCTAGTTTAGAATGAGAAGGACTTCAATTGATCTCAGGCAGGCAATGCTAGCGGGAGGCATTGGAGGCACAACAGGCGACATGCTGATGCATTCGCTGGACACGGTCAAGACGAGACAACAAGGCGACCCGCACATGCCACCGAAATACACATCCATGGGGAATACCTACTACACAATATGGCGACAAGAGGGCTTCCGAAAAGGGTTGTACGGAGGAGTGCAGCCAGCTTTCCTCGGGTCTTTTGCAGGCACTGTGTGCTTCTTTGGCGCATACGAGTGGAGTAAAAGAACCATGATTGACTATGGCATTGCGCCATCAGTGTCATACTTTGCAGCTGGTACGTCATGTCGAGAGGATTGTTGAATGCGAAATGCTAAACATACAGGACTCTTCGCCGATCTCGCTGCAGCGCCTGCATATGTTCCGTCCGAAGTGCTGAAGACGCGCCTACAACTACAGGGCCGGCACAACAATCCTTACTTCAATTCGGGCTACAACTATCGCAACACCATAGACGCGGCTCGGACCATCGCTAGAGTGGAAGGCTTTAGCGCACTATTCCACGGCTACAAAGCCACACTGTGGCGTGACCTGCCCTTTTCGGCATTGCAGTTCGCATTCTACGAGGAACTTCGAGACCGCGCGAAGCGCTACCAGGGGTCTCACCTAATCGGGCTGCCATTGGAAATTGCGACCGCAGCAAGCGCAGGAGGAATGGCAGGCGTGATTACAACGCCACTCGATGTTGTCAAGACGCGAATACAAACCCAGCATAGCGACACGACCTCCAGCTCGACAACAGCACCCAAAGCCACTGTTTCACCGACAACATCGACAAAACACTCCACTCCTTCGAGGCCTACCGCATCACGTCCTGCACAAAGTCGACCAATATCTACGTCCTCGCCGTCGACAACGTTGAGACCCCACGGCGCAGCCATGCTCGATACCTCCTCGGTCATGACTGGACTGAAGATCATATACAAAACAGAAGGAATTGCTGGCTGGTTCCGAGGGGTTGGTCCGAGAGCCGTATGGACCAGTGTTCAGTCTGGTACCATGCTTGTGTTGTACCAGACACTTTTGCGGCATTTCGAGCAACATCCGCTCGTGAATAGGGACGACGTGTAATACCATTGTACGAACATATTCGCATAGAAGCATTAGTGGCGTTAGGGAAGCGAACCATAGACTAGACTTGCGAATACCGAACACTTGACTCCGAGTTGCAGGCCGGAAGGGAGGTGAGTGCGTGGCATGCAGTCGCATGCTTCACTAACATTATTCGAATGTGGTGTGAGGTACAGCGTGGCTGCCAAAAAGTGGGGCGCATGTCTAGCGCGGCGTTGTCATCGACGAGGTTGTGACGACACCCCATAAGCACTCGCAAAGTCCCTGAATCTGGTTTTTATGGCTACAGTTGTAAGACCAGTAACACGATATGCGACTAAATCCCAACGGCGACTCTACAGTCTTCCCAAAGCGTGCTCAACTGCCAGTCGTAGCTGGCACTCCAGAAGGCTCTGCTTGGTTCTGGGGCGGGAGTGATGAGTTGGGAAGACTGAACTTGCTTACACCGCAGCGGATAGCGAAAGCTACGCAAGAGAATGTGAAGACAGGAGATGTTGTTTCACTGAATTTACCTTTGGATGTACCGAGTCCACCGTTCTTTGGCAGGAAACCCTTTCATCACGAGATCAAATCTATCGGCAAGGGTGCATTCGACGATGAAACATCTACCAACACCCAGTCAAGTAGTCAATGGGATGGGTAAATACCTCCATATCAATCACATAAACAGCGTGTGCTAACTTCTCATCAAGGTTCCGCCACTTCGCAGACCCCAAATCCGGCTACCACTACAACGGCATTCTGTCAGACGAAATCCTAAAAGACGAAGACCTCGTAGATGAAGACCGCCCCGAGCCATCTCTCCGTCTCGGCATCGATGCTTGGGCCCGCAAAGGCATAGTCGGCCGCGGCGTCCTCCTCGACATCTACACCTGGTCCCGCGAAAACAACAAGCCCTACGACCCCTTCACCACCCATAACATCGCAGCCTCCGATCTCCTCGCCTGCGCACAGTCTCAGAACATTACCTTTGAAACCGGCGACATCCTACTCATCCGCACCGGCTGGCTAGCCGCATACCACTCCCTCACCCAAGCCGAAAAAGAAGACCGCGCGAAGCTAGACGTCATGCAACACCTCTATGCCGGCCTGGAAGCCAGCGAGTCGATGAAAGATTTCCTGCACGACAATTACTTCGCGGCGGCGGCGACCGATAATGCGAATTTCGAGGCGTGGCCGCCGCATAGCTTAGAGGACAGCTTGCATGCCTCTATGCTGCCGCTGTGGGGGATGCCGATTGGCGAGCTATGGGATTTCGAGGCGCTGGGAGAGAAATGTAGGGAGGTGGGGAGGTGGACTTTCTTGCTGACGAGTTCGCCGGGCATGGTGCCGGGGGGTGTGGCGAGTTCGCCGAATGCTTTGGCGATGTTTTGAGTTGTCAGGGGCGAGCAAATGGGGATAGGGTTGTGCGAGTGTATGAATACACAGATGCGGAGACGAAGATGTGCCAATACTGTCTGAGGTAACGGGATGGAGTAGTAGCTAGTCCCACTCGATCATACCAGGTACGATTAAATATGTAAAAGAAAAAATCGAATATGTATCATGTGCTTTCGTATTCTGGAGACATTATGATTTAGTTCCAGATACTTGGTATACTTGCGTACAGCCATGTTCCAGCACCACGACATGTAAACGTGTACCTTATTGTCGGGCTCGTACAACTGAGACGTGAAACCCCACAGCAGTGACTAGGGACGAATCATTGAAGTAGATTCACATAATCCAATACTGCTGTGCATAATTTCGAAGTCACTATGCTGTCGTCAAACCATAACAAGATACCATGAGTCCAGTAAACTAGGTGACATGGACATTCGAGTGCGTTTGGAAATTCACGAGCTCTCCGTTGTCATGGATTGTTGGGTTGCACTGGGCGCTGTGAATACGCTTCTACCAGGAGTGCGCGTTGTCTTCATGTCACAGAGCTCTTCCAAACATCCATATATGCTGTGTCTATTGCGACATGCTCTCAATCTGCAGAACTTATAGCACACATTGATTCAAGAACGACTTATTCAACATTTTACCCATCACCAAGTTATCATACACTTGACAGCCAAGCATCTTCCAAGTATGTAAGCAATTATTGCCTACTGTGTGTCATACGACATGCTCATCGATCTAGATCCGACGAGAACTTTTTACTCAAGTCAAAGCACACACATTACAATGACCAACAACATCGCAACCCATCTCATCAACCAACAGGGTCCCATCGACCGCGACAAGCGATGGATCTGCCCCGAATGTGGCACAGAGAATGCGGTTGGAGTTGCATGCCCATGCGGGAACGAGAGCGAATAAACATTCAAAACGGAAAAAAGGCGATTTGTTTTATTCATGATTGCTTGACAGCATGACTTAGTCCTGCAACTCAACCGCATCAACAATATAATTCGCACTCAACCACTCCGCATCTCCACTCCCACTCACACCCATCGTCAGCGTGTTCGCTCCTGCCTGGAACGCACTCGCTGGTACTGTCCAGGTGTACACTTCGCCGAAACCGCGGTATGCGCCGCGCGTCACGCCTCGTGAATCAATGAGTGTCTGTTCGTTTCTGATTAGCTTTCATATTACGAGTAATGGCTGGCTTGCATGCTTACTGGTGCTCCTGGGTCTGTTCCCGTCCAGCTCCCAATCTTGACCGACGGTCGTCCACCCTTGAAAGACAGCGTCGTGCCCACGCGCAAGACGTGCGCTTTTACTTGCGCGCTGGTGAGTTCGAAGGTGACATTTGCAGCGGTATTTTGTTTCGCCCACAGCGCCATGGGGAAGTCTGACGCCTTGGACGTCCCCACTGTATATGATCCAGCCCAAGAACTCATCCGCACGTCAGACGGATGCATCCTGGTGATCTTATCGCCGTTCTTCAGCTCAAACGGCTGCCCGTCAAATTCACCAATGCGCCAGATCACCGCGGGCGATACCTCTTTTGATGCAATGTCCTTGGACGCGGTTTGTCCCGCAGTGACGGTGACCGTGTCGGTAGCAACGACAAATTCGCCCTTGTACAGTTTCATGTTGTACGTCCCCGCTTTCATCGCCGGACTTTTGTAATTTCCGCCCGACGCTTTGGTCCAGTACTGCGCTGCGTCGTTGTACCAATGCAGCACGGTCTCAAACTTGCTGTCCACGCCTGTTGCTTTACCAGTAACGCTGCCGCGACCGCTTTCGCCAACGTATCCGTCGATTTTCAGCGAACCGAAGAAACTCGTGTCGGGTGCAGAAGGAGGTGATGCGCCGGCGGGTTGAAAAGTAATGGCGTATGGACCTTTCAGACCACTGCGCCAGGCCTCAGTGCGCACGTGGCCGGAATTCATGTAGAAATAAAGTTCTTGGTCAGGATCGGTGGTTTGGGAATTTATATCGCGCATGAATGGGCCGCCGGAGGAAGTTTCGTAGGCAAGGCCAGGCATGGACATGCAGACTTGCGCTTTCTATTGGATGTTAGATCTTTCATGGGGCGGAAATGTGGCTTGGGATTAGCTTACAGAGCCAGAGACGCAGTGCACTTTGTCGTCGATGAAGCGATCTGATGTGTACATTTTGCAAGCCGTATGACCATCGGAACATCTGAATGTGTCTTTGCCTTCGATTGCGGTGCAGCCACGGACGTCTCCTACGTTTCCGTGTACACCAGTGGGCACTTCAGAGACTTGCAGGCGCGCAAGGAAGCGAAGCTCTCCTGGATCTACTTCACCTTGGTTGTTCGTGGCCATGTATATGCTTGCCTCCTGGGGTTTAGCGATATAATAATGCGTTACTGGTAGGCTGCTTGACTTTGCAGTGATCTTGATGAAGCCATTGATCGTCTCAGCTGTGACAGTTGAAGAACCTAGACCAGAATTTATTCCGGATGCTTTGACAGTGCCTTGGTATTCTACACCATTGTAATTGAGGCTAGTAAGATCGCCAGTCGACCTGTGTGGATATCAGCATTTATGTGATATGTGTAGACGTTATCGGGTGCATACTTATTAATCTCGAAGACCAGTCCGCCATCAGTGTCAACCTTGTATCCAGTGGTTGTGGAAGTGAGTCCGAAGGCTGCACTTACGCCTTGGCCTATGGACAGTACAGTTGCGACACTTGTGATTAGATGCATGCTGAAAAAGTTGAAGCCTCGCGGATGCCACTGGTGAACATGTGGGTATGCCGAGACCATATACGGCCCCAGAAACAAGGCTAGTTCCTTCTGAACCGTCGCTAATGGAAACTCGGATACATTAATCGTTAGCAGATGGCGTATTCCGAGTAGGTCTACCCCAGTCGTACACTCTAGGCCAAACCTTCCACGGCGTGCGAAATTGACGGGGATTTTTCGTTTCAGACGTGCGATTAATCTCCGCAATTGTTCCGGCCTAGAACACGACCGTTTGAGGTGTTCAAATATGTTATATGCTTGAGATATTAATTGACCGCTTCAATTTCCATGCCTTCATAGTGAACATGGCCGATCTACTCTTCGAGCGTTCGGGTGATGTGGGCCCGATTTGCGGGGTGAAAATAGGGTAGACGTTCGCTCGGTCGTAAGATGACCCAGGAGATTTCAAGCACCGCCGTAAATCACAAATGAATCCAGGCGTGACATTAGGAGTCAAGAATTCATTACCTGCCTAAGCGTTCGGTTAAAAGCTTGACCCTAATTGGCATGCGTCTGGGGAATTGTTCATAGGTTCGGTCTACCTAGTACACGGACCACTGTCGTCTGACCGCTCGGTTTTAGATTGCCCGAACCCATGGGAAGCAGGTGAGCAATGTCAACTTGGACCGGGCAAGTGAGAGGAGGGCTAAAAATACAACGCCTGTCGCCGCGTTGGACCGAAACGGGATAGGGAAGCGTCTTGTTCGGGTCAGAAGTGCTTCCTAAATGGATCATTCATCCCTAGTCCCTGAAGGTCTGGAACATCGCCTGTTGTTGGCACTTGGTATGCCAAATCTGGGGTAATGGGGTCTCAATGAGATGCCCAAGTGCTGGCTCGGCTCTTATTTCGTTCGCATTACGTCATCATGTCCTTCCTTTCCACCAGGCCCCGGCAAAACTCCCGTCCGCCCTCACCGAACGAGAAGAGTGAAGAGGTAGCCTGAATATGTTCAACCCTTTTTGCAAAACTAGATGAGTCATTTAATAGCATCAAATATATTTAGGTTTCTTTATAAACTTATGAGTATGCTCCTACAGACTATTAGATCACTTCGCGCGTGTGTAGAGCGGACACGAATTTTGCCGCTGCCTGGTGTTCCTGGGTCTTCTCTCGTTTTCCACCACAATGCGAAAAATCCTGCTCACACACCACACCTACACTGTCGATACGATCGACTAGGCCGGAAGTGATGAGAGAAACTCTGGATTGTCAGCATACACCGTCAGCTGAGGCCGTTACTCACGTAGCTCGTGAACCGAACAAGACCATCGCTGTGAGACGTTTCTCAGCCAGTGTTGGGAACAACCAAGAGACCAATAGTAGGTCGATGGTCAAGTTCAGGACGATACTGTCGACCAATGGGCCGCTGCTTCGACAACGTCTTGGAGGAATAGGCCTTTCGGCTATTTGACCACATGGAAAAGCCACAGCAAAATATGAAAGGCTACTCAACACACCCAGGATGAGGCCTAGACTTGACTCCACTTTCCGAGGCTGTGGGATGACGCTGTCTATCAGGAACGCAATTGACAAGTTCGCAAAAAGCATTAAACAGATTTCTAATAGCTGGGCAGAAAGGACCGCCTGTATAGTCAGAATTGTCATAATTGCGAGCATGTTCACGCGCTCTAGAGAGCATTATGGCATGTCGCGCGTCAACATGCACCATATGTTTCCCAAGTCCAGCATTGACCGCAAATTGCCAGCTTACGACTGCACCAATGTATAGGAACTACGCTACGTTAGTGCACAGAATCCTACAAAGCGCACAGCCTGGTCTCTTACGATACTAACAAGCGCTGATTTGTCGTCTGCACCAAACTTGACCTTGTGGATAAGAAGGCCTCTCGCGGAGCGAGCCACTACAACGCCAGAGGTCATGGCTGCCCAGGAGTAGAGGGACACCAGGACGAAGTCTCCAGGGGTGGATCGAGTATTTCGCTGGTTAGCTTGATAGCTTCCTATGGTCGTGTAAAGAAGCCGGCGGCTGCACAATGGGGAGGCTCGATACGATTTGTTCAGGCTCAGGGACAACACGATCTCTGCATTGCCCGTAGGACGCAGCTGTCTTCCTGGGCCTTCACCGATCGGCCTCTCGAGGCGTTCTCATGTGTCAGCATGTCTCGTCTAGCTTGCGCTTAGTTGACTTTTCGCCGATGCTGCGTTACTACACGCTTCTCATGAAAGGCTCCATGTCGGAATGCCGTTTGAGCCAGCATGTACGTTGCGCTATTCTCATACTGTCAGGAATGTCTCTTTATCTTTGGCGAATGTGCATAGACTTTCGAAAATGTCATTTCGTCGGGTGCTGGGTTCACCCGCCAGCTTCAGGCAAGTGTTATTCAAGATGAGCAAGGTTTCGACGCCTTGCAGTCGATTTGGCGAACACGGAGCGCGGACCTATCGTAGCCAACCCGCCATGGAGGCAAGTTGCCGAGACTTAACGCGGGAACCTGACATGCGGTCCGAGATTAAGTCTATTTGCTGGGTCCAACAAGCTCCGCCGTTCCTAAGATGGGGAAATAGCGCATCTCCTCTTCGTTCGACATGGTCGGTTCGGAGGCCACGACGATTGCTGCACTGTGCTATGAGATGGTCACCGGTAAAGTTCAGTAGGTTTTCGAGAGAAGTCAAACATCGGAGGAGGATTCACGTCGGGGTATTCACGTCGGAGGATTCACGTCGAATGGGGACGCGCATGTGTCCAGATGCTGCGAAACATGCATAATTGGTCATCTCTAGCATGCAGTCTCAGAGGCTGCCCACCAATCATTTTTGCAGCTCGTATCACATCGTCTTACGACGATTACCATTTCCTTTCCTTCCACGTTACGCGGGGCCCCCGGTTCTCAGACTCTCCTCACCTAAAGTTTCTTTAGTGGCACAGGACATTTACTGAGTGACTGCCCAATAATGACTTTGGTTAGCGAGTACAAGACGACTGACCTAAACCTCGTAGAACATGGCTCGAGCAGTGGCGAGAATGCTGGTGGTACTCCTATGGAACGTCAATCTGTTGGCGATTATCACTCAAGTGGCCTTGATGTAAGTTTTTCCATTCTTGTTCCCCATGTATCAAAGCTCCGGCTAACTGTCAATTCAGCGATACATCAACTTCGCGACCGCCGTAAATTTTGGTGTCATTATACTTGCATCATGGGAGTCCTTTGCCGTTACATTGCCAGTTCGCATTGACGAACGGCGGGCCTGCGTCCATCTTCTACGGATCTCTACTGGCAAGTCTAGGTGCATGCGCAGTGGGCTTCTCACTAGCCGAGTTGGCTTCAATGTACGTCCTTAATATCCACTTTTCGACAGTAATTTGACAATCGACAAGTGACCCAACTGTCGGGGCACAATATCGATGGTCGGCCAACTTTGCACCCTTTGCTCCACGATTTTGGGGGCTATTGCAAGGTAAGCTCAAAAATTGTCGGGCAGAATGTTGTTAACTTGGTGACTAGGATGGATCACTACTGCAGCCTGGTGCTTCGCGTGCAGTGGACCTCCTTTCCATTCTCGCCAATATAATCACATCTCTTGCAATCTTCAATTACGAGAACTATGTTCCCGAGCGGTGGCACACTAGCTTAATCATGATCGCCATCATGTTGGTGCCCCTCATATCGAATCTGTGGTTCCGCAAAGTTCTGGATGCTGTCGAGATGATAGGTGGCATTCTCCACCTTTGTTTGTTCGTTGTGTTCATTGTCGTTCTCATTGTCTTTGGACCGCGCAATGATTCCGAATTTGTCTTCAAGACCTTGACCTATGAGACCTCTGGCTGGAATAGTCCTGGCGTATCATGGGGACTAGGATTACTCAGTATGACGTTCTCCGTCACCGGGGCAGATGGCATTTTGCACATGTGTAAGTTTCAGCACAAGATGTATCGACAACGACTGACAAGTAGTACAGGTGATGAAGTCAAAAAAGTTCGGACTCGGGTACCTCGGAGCATCATTATCGCGGTCACTGTCAATTCAGCTCTACTTATCGTCTTTGCGACTATCCTACTATTTTATATGGGCCCCCTCGACGACATCATCGATACCCCTCTACCACTCCTCTGGGTCATCTACGGAATCACGGGCTCGAAGACAGCAGCTAATGTTCTCATCTCGGTGCTTGCGATCATTACCTTTCTCGCACTATTCAACATCTTCGCTTCGGTGTCACGCCTCATCTGGGTATTTGCACGAGACAACGGTTTGCCTTTCTCGAGCTTTTTCGCACATGTATGTAATATCGGTCACTCTCTGGCTTCGCTAATATCCGAGATTAGTTACATCCTACACTTCGTCTACCTGTAAACGCTTTGCTCCTTGTTGGAACAATCGTCACTTGTTTGTCGCTCATCTACATCGCCAGCGTAACGGCCTTCAATGCGCTCATCTCGCTGCAAGCCATAGCTATACACATATCATACTTCTTCCCAATTCTCTTTATTCTATTGCGAAAGCTGCGCGGACCGACTCCGCCTTATGGACCATTCAAGATGGGCCCTACCGGAGTACCTGTCAACATTTTTGCGCTCTGCTACATTGTGTATGTCGTTTTGTGGATGCCATTCCCTCAGATCTTGCCCGTCACCAAGGACAATATGAATTATGCTGGTCCGATCTTTTGCGCTGTGGTGTTGGGTGCTTTAGGGCATTGGTTCATTCGTGCAAGGAAGACATTCCGATTGCCGATCACTCGGTACGAGTAATCAGAAGAGGGGCGATATCATGTCAGAAAGGTCTACGATTTGACTGATTGCTCTCTCGTTTCAGAGAAGGCAAGAAGCAAAATGTATCGAGCGCATAGCACAAATTGAGAAATGGAAGGTCTCATATGGGCCCATTGCTGACTGCACCAACGCCACTTACGTAATTCCTTCAACCTTTCCCTACCTTGCTAACCATGTTCACTCCCAATCAGCTCGAAGACGAGCACAGTGGAAGTCAACTTCTAAAAGCAGAAGTGCAGCAGGACTTTGCAAGCGCTTGGCCAACTCATTGCCCAATTCAGCATACCACTTCCGCACAGCCTCGCGCAATAGCATGTGTTGATTGGCTGTCGACGTTGAATAGACCGTAGAAGCACCGATGGCGTTCCCTGCTCGATTATTGCCGATGTGGGACATCGCTTCAAGACCCTGTATTTAATTCTTGGGTCCCTTGCACTCAATTATCCCGTTGGGCATCATGTGTACAGCACATCTCCACAACACCACCAAATCTATGTGGCGATTGTCACCATGGCTCAAACTTTGCACCCCCTCCCGCAACCAGGACTTTCAATATATCCTGGATTTACCGCAACGAAACCAGAGACGTTCCTTGCCAAATGTCGCAATGCATGGTCGGACCGCGCTTCGTATCTCATCTCGTATTCGTCTCCGAACGGGAAGCCCCTAAATCCTTTCATGGAGATAGTTGAAGAAAAAAAAAATAACATCAGCTTCAAGGCGATGAATGGCCAAGAAGTGATGCGCATTATTAAACAAGAACATACTTGGAGCGGGGCCGAGTACCACGGCATGCGAGGCGAAGGAAATGAAGTGTGGCACTTGCAACTGAAGGGCAGTTGGTCTACAGAATATCGTACGCTTTGTGCACAACATTCTGTGGGTTGTATACTGAGATATCTGCAGATTTACAACTGTACGGTGAGGCGGAGGCGAATCAACTTGTTGTGGAGAACAAACTTCTCGGCGCCGACAAAGGTGTGTTGTTGAACGGTCATCCTGCTTGCACTATGTCACGGCATGAGGCATGGAAACATATTTATCGAAGGGACATCATCAACGTTGCGCCTGGGTATGGACGTTCTGCTAGCACTGGGTGTGGCTTGGATCAGGACGGACAAACAGAAGCAAGATGAGAAGGCAGCTATTTCAGCAGCTGCCTGAAGACAGGGATCGACAGCACAGCGACAAATTCATACCACTGGTATATGCTTCTTTTGCATAGATAACCCCCACTAGGCCCCGGCAAAAGTTCATGTCCGCCTTCACCAAGGAGAAGAGTGAAGAGGTTGCCTGGATATACTCAGAAACCTTTGCAAAGCTAAGTAAAATATCTTATAGCATTAAATTTATTTAAGCTTCCTTATAAACTTATTAGTGCGCCCCTAAAGACTATTAGATCACGTCGCGCATTTGTAGACTGGACAAGAATTTGCCGCTGCCTAGTGCCCCGTCATATTATCATTACTCGTTATCAAAGTGGTATACTGGTTTGTGTAATTAAATGTTTATACAATGAGCTAACCAGCAGCTATTATCGATGATTTTCTCTACTCCAAGTTCGGCCAAAACCTTTCATGGTCTTCTTTCTGACATCATCATCCGAGAACGACCCGTCTGGTAGTAAGCCAATCTGAGTCATCGACGGCAGTGCTGTGATCCTGCTGTCCCGGCTCGCCTCGCTCTTCATTGACTGCCTCGCGGTCCTAGGAGATTTGGGAACTCTCAGTAGCTCCATTTGCTCGTGTCTAGAATCTAATCGCTTCTCGCTGAACGGTGGTCTTATTACAGAAACTTTGGGTTCAGAGTAATTGCTCAAAGTAGAGTCCAGGCGATGGGAGTTCGAGCGCAGGTGCTGGTGATCAGTTGGCGCTAGAGAGTATTGCGACCAAAGGCTGTCTATGTTTGTTCCTTTGCTGGAGCCATGAACACTGCCATTGGCGTCGTGCGAGAGGGTCATCCACGAAGAAGGCTTCTTCCATTCGCGTTGTTGGCTTGGTTTTGAAGATGACTTGCTGCGGCTGCGACTGCGCGAAGATTGTGTGACGTGCGACAAGAACTCTCTGACGCGGACTGGTACGGCTTTCATAATGAGAATTCGAATGGACGGCATTGAAACGCACACAAACCCTGCAGCGAGCTCGAGCTCAGTCCAGATGGTTACTGGGACGTAGTCCCAAGTGGGGTCAAGGGATATCCTAAAACTGAGCAATGTCCGGAGGCGTACAATAGTGGCAACGCAGCCGAATGTGCCAAATGCAAACATTAACCCAACGGCAATCTTGCGATAACGCTTCATCTGCAGGTTACGGATGAAGACCATTGGTAGTATCAAGAGGATAAGGTCTTGCAGGATGGCGGACCCCGAATTGGCATAGGCAAGCGCTTGCACATCTAAGCACTTTGCTTTGACGTCGCGATCCCAAAACCCACTGATGGGAGTGCAAGAGAAGATTGTCAAGAAAAATATAACCAGACTGTTGACGACGATGTAGGTGAGGACAATGTAGGCAGCCACTCGGAATTGTCTGGTCGTGAAGATTTCGAGGTAGAAGAAGACCAAGGAGACTTTGATCATTGCAAGGACGAGCACATAGAAGGATTGTGCTACCCAGACTGTAGGCGTTAGCAACTTTGTACAAGAATCTGCCGTAGAGACCTACAGAAGCGCAAGATCTGCAGCAATTCCCCATCTTCGAGATTCCACAGGTGCTTGCCAAAGCCAATCTTGGTCATTTCTAAGACGCAGCCAACGGGCAGTGCGAGAAGTAGCAGAGCTGCCACAACAAGCCAGTCATCCATGGAAATATGTTTCGACACAATCTTGCCAGCAATCCTAAGCGCGACGAGCAAGATTGCCAGAGGATATATGATGCCCGTGTACATGAACATCTCGGTCCGCTTCGATGCTTGAGAGAAGCCGCAAAGGTCAGACTGTACTTTGACAGATCCAAGAGTGTCCGACATAGTGCAATTCGCGAGCATGCACGCTGACAGTGTGAGCGTGAGTTTGTCGTTATGGCATACGCAATCGACATCGGTCAAACTGCACCCACTCGCTGGGACAGTCTGGATCATGCACTTGATCTTTCGGGGTGTCAGTGGCGATTTTGCGTATATTGCACTCTAGACTTACACCGCATGCTGGAATGTCTGAAAGACCTAGGGCCCTCGATTCAAGATCGGAGTCAGTGAATGCGGCATCGCATGATCCCAGGATGAATAGCAGGCAAGTGGTGAGCGCCCAAAGCTTCATGAAGACGGTGGAAGTTCTTGGAGTTCGGTTGTGTCGAGCATGATATCGAGCATGCTTGGTGCGCCCATGGACAACTAAAAGCCCGCCCGCTGTACTGTAGGTGCCGGTAATGGCGTTCCAAATGCCCAAACTTTGTTGTGGCGTTGCTGCAATCTAGTCTTTAGCCGCGTGTCAGACCATCCTAGTGTCGCTCTTATTCGGCCAATAAATCGCATCGCTTCGCTTCTCCAGGATACGACGGACGGGTGCTACTCGGAGATTCGCGTGCGGAGGTGGTTCTAGCTACCTAGGTGTATCATGTCTTTGGTTGTGAAGGCACGCGGACATTGCCTCCGTCCATCTGCAGGGAAGGTATACCGCCGAACTATTGCGCCGCTGTACATATCTAGTGATGTGAGGTCGGCATGAATCTTCATCTGGGTAGCTGCATGAACTGCAAGGCTGATCTCCGACTTAGAATGGCTAGTAAATGTCTTTCTCGAGAAATGTGATCTGGTGAACATGTGGTGATCAAGAAAGCCAAGGTGAAGAGCGATGCATCCTTGAGCAGATCCACGTTGCCGTATATGTTAGCTGCATATCTACGAACTTTGACGCTTGTGAAACGTGGTGATCGTCAGAATGATGCCGGTACTTTTGGCGATCACTGCTGGCTCTTCGCAACGGCTTCATTGTGAACAATGGACGGTATAGCATAATGTTTATGGTCGACTACAAATTGTCCTTCAAAATCGAGCATCTTGTCAATATTAAAACTCTATATGACCGAAGTCAACGGTGCGGCTTGAAACAAGCTTCTTCTGGCTAGAAACGTCATACTCGATGATGTGCCTGGCACCGCTACATGATTCGGCAAATAGGGGCCAGGCACTCGCGTGTGGCGCTCAACCGTTTAGAGGTGCGGTGAACTGTTGATTCACAATCTGTTCCTATGATGCCCTTTAATCACGTCAATTATTCGCAGTCAGATGAATATGCAATCGTTGCGATGTGCCGAGGAGCAGAGAGTGGCGCCTTCGAAAGGGGTCGATCCTGGTTTTGCTAATCCCAACTCGGACTGGCGAATTCTCTTACCACCGAATGTCCATGAACGTCGCCGAAAGCTTCTTCAGCAACGCCGGGACTTGGAGCGGGACATGTTGATCGTTGCAATTATGTACAAACCATAATCCCTAGGCGGGGTACAATGTAGAATGAAACCGCTACATGGCGCGCTGTATGTTTCGTCGACTTTGAGTAGCGCCGGCGTTCACCGTCATCGGAAAATCCCATCCAACAGGATCAGGACACCCTAAGATCTTCCATCCTGCACGCACCATAATATACTCCAAGACCATGCGACCTCGCTTCCATCCGTTCTTCACATCTGCAGTCCAACTAGCCATTGTCTTGTGATCACAAGTCTAGCACTGCGTCATCCGTGTCACATGCCGCAGAGAAGTTCACAGAATCGACCGGAGTCAAAGTCTCCTCTCTTGCTAGCCAGGCTCAAGTGCGGATTTT